ATCCATAAAATTAGCACTAAAAGTAATTAATTAGTTGAAAATTCCTAGACTATACAATTACTAAAATGTATCGCTATCGCACTACCAAAAAAAAATGTAATAAATATATCTGGGATTTATTCAAATATGTATTTGTTTTTCTGCTTCACTAGGCACTTTTCATAATAGACAGTTATTAGAAACGTGAGCAAAAACAAATTGGTTGCTTTCTTGGCTGCATTATCAAACTGCGCCTATGCACTTGTAAACTCAATATTGGTACATTAAGGTTTTCATTGATGCAAGAGAGCGGTATTTCTACTTTGCTTTCATTTTGCCAGTTCTTGCACTTTTTGAGCTGTTCACGGGTGTACACAGTTATGGACTGCATCGATTTGTAGTTAATTTAAGCTCAATGCTTGGAACACCAGAGAGTAATTTGTGGAGGTTATTTTAGTTGCATATATTCATTTTGAATATTATATGCACTATGCATTGCAAAAATAAAATAAAATAGAAAATTAAATTGTTTTATTCTGCCCAATCATTTGCAGGTATTTGGGATATCCATCCGGTTGTTACTGGACAGCTTGTTTGTATGCTCTCACACCGGCCGTATGCATGGTTTATTTCTGTTTCATCTTCTATAATTCAAAATATCTCACTTCTATCACTCAAAAATCAGTTAACAATCACTATAGTTTTTGTACACAGGTTTTTAACATCATAAATCGATAATATTTTATTGATCACCATAATTTAATTGACAAAATTAAAATTTCAGATATTGTTCATTCTTTTTATGGCTGCAATTATCAACAGATTATACAAGTAAGCAGCAAATGGAACACTGTTCCAATTTTTTTAAATTTCGAATTCCAAAACATCCACTTAAGAAAACAGTTTTCCTAAGAACTAGAATGAAGTAAATATGAATGAATAAATAAATATAAATAATAATAAACAAGAAAATGATAAAAAATTAAATATTTATAATGAGATCAAGAAGAGTTTATACTTCTTAGTTTATATAATTACAGATTTTTTTGCCTTCACAGATGAAATGATTGTACAAATGCATTACTAAATTTTCAGCGAATTTGTATTTTTGGTTCTCTCAATGACATTTATTCCATCGATTGCTATTGTCGTAATTATGATTATTCAATTTGTAAGAGCACATCGTACCGGTAAAGGAGTGCGGTCATTATTTCTGCCAGACTTACGTTGGGTACCTGAAATAGACGCTGATCGACAAGAAGCGTTATATGATGAACGAGCTGCGCGAGTGATCATTTGAAAGACTTTTGCACAAAAGCATTATTACCTATCAAATGTTTTTATTTATGAAGTAAACTGCAGAAAGTTTTGCTGGCAGTTATCAATTAAGGCATATATCGTTGTTGAGCAAAAAATTACAACAATACATACTTTACTGCAGAACAAATACTCTTTTGCCAATTATAGTAATATAATTTATAAATGCAAAAATGTACCTCAAATCATACAATTACTGTAACGTTTGCGCACATATCAACTACACAAAGGTCATACACAGTTGCAATAATAATTTTGTAAGTAGATATATATTTGGCACAAGCATAAGTATACTTCCGAAATTTCAGTACGCATCAACACAAAGAGTTCGAAAACTATATTGAATTATGTCCGAAAGCATGTTATATGTTGTTTTTCTATAGGTATATTTTAAAATTAGAAAGATTATTTCTGGTTCTTGGTAATTGCAAAAAAAATTGGGGATTAAGCCTAATGCATTGAGAGATATAATGTGCTTGGGATCAAAAAAAAATATTTTGATCGGAATTATTGAAAACTATAGACAGGTAGAAAATTATATCACTGGTAAAATCACACAAATTTCTCATTATAAAGTTGCTTCTGGAGTGCAGTAAAAATTTAAGGTTTCTATTTAAGTTTTAAGTTCTATTACTCAGCTTTACCAAAGAAGGTAAAGCCGTTGCTACTATTTCAAGCATTATTGTACTGTGTCAGCTGAAAATTTCCTTTTCTTAAAAAGTAGTAACAGACACGAAATCGCTGCTTGTACAGTTGAAGCATCAAAAGCTAAAATGAAATAGTGTGAATTACGCAATATTCACAATTATTAGCGCATGTACTACACTACAGTGTTTGTACAAGCTTATATGAAAGATAATTAAATAATGGCGATTGCAGTGTAGAAACTACTCGTCAAAATACGGAAGTTAGAGAATACTATGTGCCAAGTGTACTGCTGATACATGTGAATAGTGTGTGTAAAAAACTTTAATCAAAGGATACATTTCTTTAAAGCATCGAAAAGTTAAAAATTTTTAAAAACTGTTGGATAAATTTTCCATCTCAGACTTACCTAGTTATTTCATGGTTCGTGTAATCTCTCATTCGTTATTCATTTTAAGTGGAAAACGGTTGTGAGAAAAAAAAATTCATAAACTAAAGATGAGTGATTTAGCACAGTCATTCTTATTTATCTTTAAATGCCATCTGCTAAGGAAGAATAGACATAAGCCTTGTTCATGACAGTTTTGTTAGATGAACAATGAACGATCGACTGATGAATCCCGCGCTAGTAATATAGTGAGAAACTCAGATTTATGATTAAATTGGTTTTAAAAAGAAAATTTGTAATAGTTTGCAATGCTTTAATTCATAAGCAAATAATTAAATGACTGAAGGCATAAAAAAATTGTTACAATTATTTCCTTTTGCTCCAAAAGAGATTATGGAGTTGGGAGATCAGTAAGCAGTTCACAATCACTTCAGTTTCATGCATTGTATATCAATTATTACTGTACAGTATGAAGCATTTTAACACGTGTTGAAATTATTTAAAAATTGTAATCTTTTATGTCTGACTGTAACATTTTGTGTCAGCTTTTGAATGAAGTTGGTGTACAGTACTTGACAAATTGGAGGGAATTTATGGTTGCTCTGAAAATCGAGTTTCCTACTCTCCATGACATGCTCTATAAATTTCAAATTGCAGTTCAGCTCTGCCAATCATTATTAATTAGCTCCACTTGAAATCTGTTAGACTTAGAATCGAGGTGGAAATGAGGAGTCGGTCTGTGTGGTTGCAAACATAGTCACTCAGATACAATCGCAATAAGCTGATCATACGTATAGGTGTTCTCTTATGTATGTGGGGTACTGCGCGCTGTGTTCTGCTTGAATGTTTTCCTGTATGTGGGCTTCTCTGTGTGTGCTTCGCTGCGTGTGTGCCTTTCGTGTGTGTGTGCTGATCGCGTTGATATTTTCGATATTTTCTACAGTAACATCATATCGTCTAGGTAAAAGTGAAGCAAGGATACGAGCAGAAACAAAAATAACGAAGAAATAAAGAGTTACTTTCAAAATCAGGCGAAGTCTATCGTCTACGATTACCTTTAACTTGAGTATACACATTTAGAATCAAAATATTTGATTCAGTTACATTTATATAATACGACAGAAAAGATTGCATCATGTTTTATGCTTTCAAATATAGAATAGATCAGTTTTTGTTATTAATCTTGATTATTTGGTCCTGAAAGTTAATTATATTTCAATTATACTTTCTAATTCAAATTCATTCACCGTTTTAACAAAAAGAAGAATAACACAATTGCTAAGTAGAAGGTCAAAGTTACTATAGGTCAGTCAGTGGAAAACTGTTTCAGTACAAGACCACGTCTTCTCCACTTTATCTCATCATAATGAGCACTTTAAAACTTCTTGAATGTGCAAACTGACTATTGCCATTACCGAAAATTTTTATTTCTAACTCTTTTTAAAACCTAATTCAGCATTCATTAAAAACACAATTGAAAATTTTGCGTTTTCTTCGCTTTTATGAGATTTGATTTTACGTGACGCATTTTTAGTTTATGCATTTTTAATTCACTCAGTGGTTTTTGATAATTTCAGAACGATATGCAAATTTCATTTTTTTCAAGTCAATCAATTATTGATTTCTGTTGTAGTGTTTCTTTGCATCCGGCGGGACAGATTTTTACCACTGTTAAGCTGGCAGTCCTTACAATCAATTACTCTTTCCGACTGCCACCAGTGCATCTAATCTAATCTGGTTATAAGTTTCTGATCAACAGCTTTCGTGGGCAGAAATCGACTCAGTTTTGAACTGTACTAATAATCAAAACAATTTTCGCTATTACCACAACATTACAGCTTTGTTTCAATTATTATGATATGAACTTTTGCCTTATATTTCAGGTATAGGTGCAAGATACATTTACTTTTTTTCACAATCCTTACTTGCTTCGTGTTGTTTTCCTAAATCTTACCTTACCAAGTTATAGGCTACTCTTGTAATAAAAGCTCATCAATATGACTGTACACTTAAATATCCAATTGTTTTCTTTTCCGATTTTAATACACATAGAGAAAGTTAAACTTCCTAATAAATCTTGCATAAAGCATGCAAGGATTAAGTCCTATTCTTTCTGGACTAGATGATCAAAGCTTTTCAATTTTCAATAAATAAGTGTGAAATACGTAAAGTTCTAGTAAAGTGATGGCTGAATATTTCACGAGATGTTATACTGATGGCAAAAAAACTGGATGTAAAATCGGGATTGGATGGGATCGCGGCTGGATCATTCCAGTCGAAATTCGAAAAATATGCTTGGTTTCATTTTCCTTCGTTTAAAAGCTTATTTTTGCCTTGTGAATTGTATTCCTTACACGTGACATTAGTTACATCGTTCTGAGCATAAATTCCGTGATTTGCCGAAACTAGGATCAATCTTATTGTAACTAAACAATCAGCAATGATCAAAACAAATAGCGAAAACGAATTGAAAATAATAAATAGCGGTAGTTGTCAACTGCTGCAACAATTTACTAGCTGATCACATTGCTGCTGATAGAAACTTCGTAAAACAAGGCTAGTTAATGATGGAAAATTAAAAATTTTAGTTAGAGCTTGAAAGAAATGATTCAAGTGAGATGTTTCCAGACTGTACTTGACGATAACAAAAATGAAAAAAGTAGATATTGAAAAGAGAAAGTAATGGAAGTATACTTTAGTGAGATAATTTTATTTAGTCATCAATAAAGTCTTGATAAACCACTCATTCTACAAGCATTATTTGTTTAAGTAATATATGTTAAACTACTTAAGTAAGATTTTTAGTGATGTTGAACTTTGTTCCGAGACTTGCCTATATTTTATATTTTGCAGTAAATTGTGGTAATCAGTGCTGCAAAAATTATAAAACTCAAATTTTTTTTGGTTACGTTAGTTTACATATCTATTCAAAGTTATACCACTGGTGTTTTTATTTCAGAGTCGTTGTGATGTCTTGGATTACATAGTCAATCTCAATTTTTCTGGCAGAATTTTGACCTTTGATAAAAGTAACTTTCGTATTTTTTGAAGCAAGACTGCAAAAAATAAAAGTCTTGAGTTTGGAAAAAATTTTGCATAATTCTGATTTATATTTATCGAAATTAGTTAGAAAACTTTACTTTATGAATATTTAAAAGTTTTTGTAAACGCCTTCAAGTTATATGAATTCTAAAACTTGCTTCAAAGACAACAGGTTTTGTTCAGTTTAATTATTTGCTGTATTTGAGTTATGGAATTGAGTAATATAGAAACACAGCCAAGAAGTATGTCTAAAGAATCTCTTGGTTTGTTCCACGTTTTTCCACGAGAGTTGCTCTATTTGATATTCGATTACATAAACGGTTTATTTTTTCAGTATATTTAGCCTTATTTTAACACATGAACTCTTTGATCCATGTTAGTAAGTTAGAAATCTTAACTAATGCCTGTTTACAAAATTTAGCTTGCTCTTTCTTTGTTAAATATGATGCTGAAATCTTCATTGTTCCAGTTGAAGATTTAGCGAATATTGGAATAGCATCTGCAACATTTAGTTTCTTAATAAGGTGCTATCTGCTAAAAAGAAGCACGCATTGGCGATTTTACTATGAAACTAAAAATTTGGGAAGAAGTTTTGTTGAATGTGATCAATTTTATAACTGGGGTTAGTTATGAAAATCTATCATCATATAAGTTCTGACTAAAGTAAAGGTGGGAAATAATTGTATTTTTCAGGGAAGCTTTTAAAGGCAGGTACAATTACATTGAATAAAGAGGCATGTTGTTCCTTAATAGCATTCTTCTTCGACAAGGTATTCAAATGTGATGTATTTGTTGCTATTTATTGAATATTTTTTATTCTGGGATTTTGCTTGCTTAACTTCTTTATTTTTTACAGAACAACAAGATCACTAATTGGTTTGGTTGGGCTCGACTTTTGTTGGCGGTTAGTTCGAAAAACTTCATAAAAATAAATGATTGCCTGCTTTGAATTCATTTTTAAAAGGTGTGGAAGAACTAACTATAAATACCAATGTTTCAGATCGTTGATAAGTGGAAGTTCGAAGAACGCGCAGTGCTTATCAATATTTTATTTAATTTGACCCATTTCCACAAATTACTTGGTCGAATTTTTTCCGAAGTTGCAGGAAAATACGTCGAATTTCATGATATATCGAAATTCATGGTACATTTATTGACTGGAAATGCAAATGTGAACAACAAATATAATATCTCTGATATAATCACATTTTATGAAATTTTTTTTGTTTTATTGTTGTAAAGGTTTTCTCGGAATTTTCCTTTAAGATATTAAATAATCGTGGTGTGCATTTGTTTGCACTAAAGTTAATTCAAAATTCAGTAAATATTGTTCCTCCAATTTAATGAGTGTGTTTCTGCATTTTTGTAAAATCTTATAAGAAGTAACTAACATGTTGGATTTTAGACGCGTACGAATTTATTTACTCAGGTACCAGTGACCCGTAAAGGTTAATTTATTTTCATACCAGCAATGCAGATAAACTTTAATCATAACTTTCTTTTTTGAAACATATTAGTAAGATCTTATGCTCCTAAAAACTGATTTGAAACATTTTTTACTTAAATGAGTAATACTATTGTGAAGCATTATAATTTAATTTAATTTTTTTAATAAATTTTTTCAACATTTTTACGTACAGTTTCAACATTTTCAGCATATGATAATTTGGAAATGCTGTTTGACGGTGATATCTTCTTTGAACCTATCTTTGTACATTCACTGATTAACATAACCTCCCCTTATTCTGTTTCAAAAAGTTCAGAAATTACACGTTGTGCGTGGCATAAAAAACGAGTTTTATATTTGTTCAAAGAGATGACAAGTCAGTCTTTTCCGCCTTCACTGCTAGTTTTGATTTTACTGATAAATAATGATAATTTTTTATCATATATCTCTTCAGGCACTCCTTACGCTTGGCCAACACATAACTTAACTAAGGTTATTGCTATTTATCCGACACTAATACTTTATATTTTTTATACACGTGTGACGGAAGGATGTGTGGAAGAAGCAGTAAATATCTTCCATGCTATCAAACATGTATTTTTTTTTAATTTATCAATCTTTAATGTGGAATTAATGAAACAGTTTGTGATTAATTTTGTTCTAATAGTTGACACATACATATTTATCGACTTCATAGGTTAAACACATAATCATTTGGAAAATTAAATTCATGTTGAGTTCTTATAAAAATAATTTTTCTACATTTCTTAAAATGCCATACAGTGTAATTCGTATTTAGATTGCTTTACGTTCGGGTCCATCTGAAGAATTTGAATCTGATCAAATATATCAGACATTTAAAACTTTGTGTGTGATGTTTCGTCAATTATTTTTGTTCGACTGTTAACGAATTCTTATGTGCTAGGCGAAATTGTCGATCACCTTGCTTCTAAATGACTGCTTTGTAACTAACAATATGAATGGAATTATATAATTATATTTGAAAAATTAATAGAAGAATTAATTTTATTTTTGAGTACGCAGAAGCTTTTTTGTCAGAGAAAGTTAAGAAAAAAACTGTGTCCTCAATACTCACTCATAAAATAACAGTATGTGATGATGTAGTTTTCAGCACTATAATAAACTAGAAAGAAACGCGAATCATAAATAAATTGGCTGTAAAGTTTAAATAAAATTAAATCGCAGTTTTAGCTTCGTATGTTCATTGCTTCATTTCTTTCTCATTTACTGAATTATGCATGAAGTTTTACGTAGGTGAGTCGTTTTTCAGCTTTGTCATCAAAATTTAATTCATTTTAATGCTTGCGATGTCAAAAAGCGCTTTTGCAAAATTAGTTAAGCAGTGACGTTTCTTAAAATAACAGCGATATACATATAGTAAATAACAAACGTATTTGAGACACAATTCTCTAACTTAATTTTGCATTTGAATTGATTAATATTTAGTGAGTTTACAGGTATTTTTCAGAAGCTATTAGGAAGCTAAACAAATTGTACTAGCTTTTGCTTTATTTATATCACTTTTTTCGTATTCAAATTTCATTTCATTACTGGAGGCGTGTAGTTATCTGACAGCACAAATAAGCATGATTAATTATGATCATTCGCCTTAAGCTGATAACGTATTTTCACTATCACTAATTACTCGCATTTTTTTGCTAATTCTGGATTACATTTAATGAAAGTTAGTTAGTTGTGATCATTATTTTTCTCTTGTGAACTTTGTCTATAACAAGATTGCAACAGCATTTCTGTGGTATGACATGAGATTAAATGTTATGAATGGTTTCAGTGAACGTTCCATAATATGAAGCGACTGTTCCTTCTGAATTTGATAATTTTGACAATAAAAAATTGAAAATAGAACTTCTTAATAGCAAGCAGAAATACAGGAATTGCTTCGCAATCCTAACCATTTTCTAATATATTAAAAGTGCACAGATCAATTAGTTCTCTTTTTATATGATGGAAACATAAATATGGCTACAAATGTTTGTATGGATGGTTTGCAGAGAATAATACCAAAATATTTTTTGACCATCCAACCATTTAAAAATTTTATGCGTTGACAGTGATATGTTCTAGAACGAAAAAAAATTTATTTATAGTGTAATGTCACTTTCATAGTTTTTTGTCTTCCGCGTACTGTTTACTACCGATTTATGAATTAGTGTCAAAGTAGTATATTCCAATCCAATGAATATATAAGATTCATTTAAAAAAGAGCTAAGAATTTTGTTTGAAGCAAAAAGAGAAGTGATACATACGAGAAAATTCAATCTTTGTAGCTACTTAGCGATCAAAAAAAATCATATCCCAAATTATTACAATTCATTCAAGTTAAGTGATTTTTTTTGTGTCTATTATTTTATATAACAGTTCGTTAAATACTTAATGAAAGGGCGAATAGGAAATGAGAATTTAAAATGCAAAAGGAATTAAATTAAATATTTTGAATTCAATTCCATTGTCATAAATGATTATACGCTTGATGAAACTTTAATTTTTGATCTCAACGCTATTTTCCAAATACTATTTATCATAAAAACTGCTAATCTTAACTAAGTATCATAAATGTTATCAATATGAACAATGCCAATAAACTTTGTATTTCGATAATACATATATTTGGTTTATTCATCCTATTATTGATACATTTCAGCATTAATTATAGCTAATATAATTCTAGTTGCTCTGTGACTTACTAGCATTTTATATTTTAATCAGTGACAAAGGAATAGTGCAGTAGTCCAAAGTTGAAGGTACACATTTGTCTAGATTAAAAGGGAAATCATCTTGATGGCAGTTTACTTGTGGTATGGTGAGGAATGCAGAAGCAACAGCTATCGTCATATGTATTACCGTAAGAGCACGGAACATTTTCGTCATGAAGGCTCATGACAAGAAGAACAAAACCTCTTCAAAAAGTAAAAATAAATGAAAACAAATCAGTAATGAGTCGTTTCCAATTTGTAAGTAAAATATGAAATTTATTGTGTACACTTTACTTTTATTTCTTATTTTCTATGTTCTACATAAACCAAATCAAATAAAAGCAAATGATTCGAATAAAATTTTTTAAAACATTTTTGTGCGTGCATGGTTCAATGAAAGCTTTGACACAGTAATTCAACTTGAGAAGCCAATTAAAAAAATCTCTTCCCTGAAAAAGCGTTGAAATCAATTTGAGTACAAGTAGTTTTCAAGAAAACTACACTTCAGCGACCTGAAAAAAGTTTTTAGAAATACCAATTTCGATCATATTTTTAAACACCTAAAGCATTCATTTTTCTTCCTGATAATTCGTGATACTGTAATCACTTATTCATATTGGTAAGTATATATAAAAGAATATTTTTACAATTGAATAACTATCAAAAATTTTTAGCGTGCATTTACAGAATAATTTTTGAATTAATTTAAAAACTTGACTAGTTTTTAAAAGTTTTAAAATTAATTGAAACCATACGTACCAAAGGAAATGAATTGCATTCATAAATTTTTTGATTTTAAAGCATTTCAACAATTTACAAATTAAATTCAAATACTTTTTAACAAAGCAAACATGAGGAGGACAGAATTTTTCTTCTTTTTAGTGTTAAAAGTGTGAAAAAATTTGAATGTATCTCGAAAAGTCTGCAAAAATAAAGCTTCGTGCAGTCATTATAAAATTCAAATGTCTATAGAAAGTAATCGGGATGAACTAACAAAACAATTATCATGATGATTGTTGTATAGAGAATATTATACCGCACAAACGCATATTTCCCGTTTAAATAGTTTGTTTCGAGCTATTATCCAATCAATGTGGGCTCTTCAACCAACGCCAAATCATCTTCATTTATGATCATACATTTTCAAGAGTGCATGTACTTCACATGATCAATTCAAATGTACTGTAAGTACTACTGAAAGTTTGTATCATGCTATTTCTGATAACAATAGCAATTTAGTCATACTTGGACAAACTATCTAATTACTTGAGATGAAATTTAAATTTGATGAAGACTTGTTTTTTCTTCTGAAAGAAAATTGCTTCTAAGATATAAAAACAAATTTCCAAACTTTACAGTTCATTTCATGCTCCTTCAAAGAATAATCTAATATTCAGCTAATACTTAAGCATAGACAAAAATATCTTTAAATTATTTCAAGTTGGAATTAAGTATTATGAAAATGGGGAAAAATAGAAACAAAACATTATCACTTTTTGTGAAGGGATCATTTTCAGTCCATTTCACTTTAATTTTTTCTGGAATTATTGGGAAGTTTTTTTTCTATCTAGAAATTGAAAATGAATCAATGTAATCAGTGTACCCACTTATTTCGTACCATAATAACTTAATTTTTTCTTTTTCAGTTATTTATAATAATTTCAAATTGGTATAAAACACATATTTATGTGTTGGTCAGGAGGTCAGATTAGATATAAATCTAAATACAAACATATAAAATTTAATCAACAAATAATTAAATAATGAATAAAGTCTATATTAAGGAATAAATAATTGAATAATAAATAAATAAAAATCAAAATTTATTGACTTTTACATATTTATTTATGAAGTTCAAAATTAATATTCGAGTGTATATAATTATATGCATATGTATATATATATATGATTGTAGAAACAAAAAACTGGAGAAAAAGACTCATAAAGATTGATCAGTAATATCTCATTCATTCAGATATTAAGATATGTGTGAGGTCAGATGTCTGTGTGTCTTAAGACCCAATCTTTACCAATATTGTGAGCCAACTACTCATTTCACTATCATTTTTGTTCTACAAGCGGCACAAGGTCATCCTCAAATTATTCTTAAAGCTCATTATCTAATCAGTCACACGTCTAAGTTACTTCAAAACCAACACCACTTCACTAAATTTTACTATAATATAGTTATATTTTTATATTTGCATGATTATGTAACATATTTTTTAATTATGATTTTATTTTTTTTCATTTTTTTAATTATTATTTTTTTCATTTTATAATTATTATTTTTTTCATTATTTGTAATTTTTAATACCAGAATACATACACTTCTGTGGATTTTAGCTTCTTGTTATTGAACATGAAGATTAAATTAATATTCGAGTGAATACAATTATATGCATAGGTTTCTGAATGTTTGATGTGATGTTTGGATTTCTTTGATTATTGCAAACTCCAAGATACTCGCTATTGATTTGCATAACATAGCAAACGATCTGCTTAAGGTTATAGATCTAGAACCATATACAGAGTTGCGCACTGGCATGCTTTCAAGGCAGAAACACTTTCTCTCTCATTGACCTGTGCAACATTTTTAACGATCTGTTGATGTGGCAGATTGTAGATGGGTCAGAGGTCACAGGGTTCTTTTCACCTCACACTATTTTTTCACTCTTCCGTCTACACAGTACTTTTATCTCTTATGTTTGTTCTCTTTACTTTTCAGAGAATATGAATATTCGTGCAGTTTTTTCATAACAGAATCAATTACTTGCATTTTTCATTCAATCGTGACAGATCCAGATCAGAAATTTGCATGACAGCGCTCTGTGTTGAAGCTAAGCTTAGAGGTTATGTATATGTTTTTACTTTGTTTACGTAAAAATTTGTATTACAAGTGATGCGCATACTTCCTGTCCATCTGATTCTCTTTCTTTTCAAACATAATTAAAATAAGTACGAAAAATTTTTATTGATTTTTTATTAATCTAGAAAATATTAAACTTGAAAACACGCGATTCAAAATACATATCGAGATCCTATGTTCGAAAGAAAAGCTAATTTAAAACTAAATATTAAAATTGAAATCTGATTAGTTTTTAATTTTTTCTAAATGGTTTTTGTAATCAATTATAAAACATGTTTTTGATATCACTTGCCATTATCACTATCATCGAAGTAACTATCTTTGCATGCACATATTTTTGTTTGTTAATTTAGGACAGTTCTTAGTTATGATGAATTTACACAATATTTTTATGATATCCGAAGTACCTAAGGAAAATTAGTTTGTTGAGAATAAATATTTATGATAAACTTGCAGGTTATTTGTGAAGATATAATTTGCAAAAATGGATCAGTTTAATCTCTGGAGATGTCCATTTTGCTTTCAAGCTTTCGTATCGTTAGATACTCGAAATGAACACGTAGATATTTACCATGCTTCTTACATCAGTGGTCCTTCCAGGTTAAGCGTTTGTTGTGAATGCGGAATTTTTATATACAGCCATTTGAGCTGTCTGCATTTAATGAAACATTTTGAATTAGCGGTAAGTTTCTAAATAACATTTTTTTCAAATTTTATCTCCACTATTAAGATTATTTACTTAAAACAGTTTTATGTAAACATAGAAAATCTTGTTTTTTTTTTCAAACACTCTACTTCATGAAGATTGAATTTGAATTCAGAATTATTAAAACTCAAAATTGTTCTGATTGCTTTTTTCAGCGTAAACACACCTAGCATTTTCATCTTGTTTACCTTTACACGCATGTAATTTTTTATGGCTATTTTTTTATAGTTCAAATGTGCGAATGCTCATCTTAGAAACGAAAAAAAATCGTCGTTTCCAACTAATACACTCTATGTTGTTCCTATGCAAACTGATCATGAATCTTCCAATCTCGCCGTGACTGTTCGTTTTTTTTTTGTATTGCTCAATAAAAACTTTCATTGAAACCTCGTATAATTATTATTTTTTACTTTCATAAAATTGCGAAAGATTTTTGAGCGCATAAAATTTTAGAAGTGACAGTAGCGTATGAACAATAATTTTAACAAAAGAAATTAATAAAAAAAAAAATGTCTGAAATAAATATGCTTAGAACAGGACTTGTTCATCCATTTTTTTTAAAATAGTATTGTAGAGTGAAGTAAAATTCAAAATGGAATGACGCAAATACTAAATTACATAACTTGAAATATTTCGAAAAAATATGAAATATTGCTAGCATTGTGTGACTCTTTATGTATTAATGTTTAAAACAAAATAAAAATCAAAAAATAATTATAGCACATTTTTTTAATAATTATAATAATATAGTTTTGAAAATATACTGATTTTAGCCTGAAAAAGGGCAAGTAAGTCAAAAGAGAAAACGATCAGCTTATGGCTCTTCTAGAAATGCCCAATCAGAACATGACAAACCAAAAAAATCTGGAAGGCAAGATGCAAAACATCAAGATTTGGGCCATCCTGAATTATTTTAAGCAAATCAGTCGATTACCATGGTAGTAAGTGTTTAAAATACAATAGATAGAGCGGACAACAATAACAGAATTCAGCACAATCTCTTTACTGCAACTGTTGTTAGTTGCCAGGACTGGAAAACTCTGTTTTGAACTTGTAAAATTTTTTGATAATTTTATTGATCAACTGATCTCGTAATCTATGCATCCACTACATTACCACAAAGATCTAAATTAATGCTTGTTAACTGATTGTGAATATTGACAGCTTGCACTTGATAATACACATTGTTGTATGTAAATTTATAATTTTTAGAATGCATTCCTTTACTGATTTCTACAGGTATCTATGACAGCTATGTTTGTTTTTTCTTCATATAATGCTGATGTAAAATCTTGAAACTTTTCATCACTTCTATTTTTCGTATATTCTAGGTAACCAAAAACTAATTTTTTATCATCAGTTGAATGAGTTTTCCAATTTGCAAAAGAGGTGTATTTCAAGCTAAAAAGTAATAATGCTAATGGAATAAACAATTGTATATCTTGCCTCTCCATTGTTTTTGCCATTCTTTATTTTTGAAGCATTGTACACTACTGATTCTTGCATACTTGCCAAAGCTTCGTATCTACGCTACTTTTATCATAATTTTTTTTTGAGTAGTCAAAGCAAATCCAGAATTGTTTCTTTCAGCTTCTTTGCTTAACGGCTTATAGCCTAAGCTTTCCTGATACAAGTACGAAAATGCAAAACATTTTGCTGTCAGATTTTGTTATATGTGTAATGTCTTATTAACATGAAACTTAAGTTAGAAGTTAGCATTTAACATTCAAGCTTCTCTGATGTTTCGTATTTCTCCAATGTCCATCAATTCAATTTCATTCACTCCTCTAGTCAAATACAGCCCTAATGATATATTAGTTGTAATAAAGTATTTACTAAACCATATTTTTTGTCTTAAAGACTTAATCAAACTGACTGTGGTGCAAGCGTACACACTGCAGATAAATTACAACAAATTTGAATGTAGCAATTTAACAATATACTTTGCCATTGAATCAGTTGTACGAAAGCAAGTCAGTTCCAGCACGGATGTACAGTTTTGTGAATTTTGTGGCTGAACAAAATAGCAATTTTCATTAAATATTGAAGAATCATTTAAAAGAATTTCTTACAAAAAGTAATATATGAAATAGCATAAGTTAGATTAATAGAACGATTTTGGGAAATACTTAACCTGACATGCTGTATATATCGACAATACAATTAGCAATCTTCATTTGTGTATGTTTATGTGTTCAATTATTTTGTAGTAGAAAAATCAAGGATTCTCTGTCAAAACTTGCTAACATGCAGATTCATATTTATCTGATTGCTACAGTTTTCTGCGCAATTTTTGTACTAACTGATGCGGGGACATGGCTATCTTTCAGTAAGTTTTTAAATCTCATTTAGCTTCCTTTCTATCTGTTTCTTTTTTTTTTTTGCACAAAATACATTGAAATCTATCATTTCTTTGTTTTTTGACTTTTTTTTAAATAAATAAAAACGTTAGACCAACAAAATTAGAAATATTTTTGCACACATTCTGCTGAAACAAACGTACTCTAAAAATAATGTGATATTGCCAAGAAAGTGAATCAAAATTTTTTCTCAAATGACAAATGAAATACTAAAACTTAAACATGTCAAATATTTTAAAAATCATACAAAATTGACCTAATACTTACTGAGATCACTTGCAGATGAAAAACCCAACGGTTTAAGCAATTTGTTACCGCCTGTCAGCAACGGAGCAGATTTAACTAGTTTCATGCAAATGTGCAAAGAAAAATTTGTAAGTTCATTCACTTATGTTTTGCAAAAGTTACAGAATTTTTACTAATTAAAAACTGATAAAAGTAAGTGCAAAAATGGCATAATGTATAAGATTAACAAAAAAGAGAAATATGAACAAAATTGAGGTATCAAAAAAAGCAGTTGCAATAATAGTTGGAAAAAATGATTTCTGATAAAGATGGACATTAAGAGCGAAGAAAACAGTAAAGAGAAAAAATAGTGAAAAGAACTGTAGTTTACTTCTGAAAGAAGTACTTGATTTTTGTGCATGAAGATAGATATAAATGTCTTGCATAACTGAGAGCTAGTTTAGTCAATAAAAATTAGCATATTTGAATTAAACTTACAGACATATAAAACTGTTTTTTAATGACAAATCATATAAAAATTTGATAAATTTCTATTTTTCTGTCTTTGAATAATCATATATTTCTTTTTGTGAAAAAAAACACTATTATCTTTAATAAAAGACTTTTAAAAAAATTGCATATTTAAGAAAGTAATGAGTTTTCAGGCAACACGAAATCTTGCAAGTCAACAAGCACGAAATTTTGCAGAAATATGCGCTGCTTTGCTTGATCTTGTTGAAGTAAAATAACAATTATTATTTCATATCAAATAATGATTTTTGAATATTACTAATGAATGCGCAACAAATATTTGCAAAATATCTTGAATATATAAAGGGTGACTAAAAGCACATACTATTGCAATGAGAATAGAATCATAATGTTAGAAATCTGAACAAAACCACAGTATTAGAAATCTCAACAATGGAAGGATCGAGTAAATATTTAAGCTATATTAAATTTAAGCTTCAGAAGAATACACATGTAACATTACTATGACTTGTGGTAACAAAGTGAAGTACATTTGAGCTACTGAATATTAAACTTTTGTAATATAATCTTTTAAGGATTAAAAAGTGCACACTTGCGTTGGATTAAAAAAATACTTAAATATTTAAAAAGAAAATTCATCAAAGAAAGTTTCATTTGTTTTTGTTTTGTTGTCATAAAAAGGACTCTGCTGAAAATGGTTGCATGCATTAGCTGTGATCAAAAATATATTCGAATTTATAGTATTTGCAACAATTGCAATTGTAATAAGTATTGCACAATTTTTATAAATTATAAATTGGAAAATATTACTAATTGAAATCGGGAATTTCTACCACTAATTATTATTAAATTATAGCACATCAATAATCTAAATTTTCTGCCGTACAAAAAGAAAAGATGGCAAATGTAATTGTAAAAAAACAATGTCTTTTTAGTTTTCAATGCAAAATATTAATTTAAAAATGCAACTAATTTCGTCTCCAAAAAAGCACAAAGTTAAGAATTTCATTACTATAATTGATCGTTGATAAAATACAAATAATCAAAAGCAAAATAAAATAAAATAAGGCAAAAAACAATAAGAAACTATCGTCACAATTTAAAATGATGGTAGAAAAAAATGATCTAGAGTTATCCGTTACTAAAGTTAGCCTAATAACAAAAAGGTCAAGTGAATATTTGATCTATTCTAATTACTATTATTTCTATAGTTTTATGATTTTTATCTACTACTTTCGCCTCCGTTCATTCTCTAAGCCATTACAATAATTTGATGCCGATTTTTCTTGATTTTCTTTATCGTTGATCTTCTCTGCAAATTTGCATTATTTAAATAGGACATCTCAATATTCATTTTGCATTTACCACAGTAATTTATATAAACAGCTCTTTAATTGTGAGGTTTAGCCTGTAGCGCTGCTTATTGTTCAAGATTCTTTTTAGTAATACAGGTCTGACAACTTTCGACAGCAATAACCTAAAGTTCGTCAATTTTTATGAAAAGTTAACTCTTCTGAGACTGTAAAAGAAAATCCCACAGGCAAGTAGACGTAAGCGATGATTACGTGAGTCCTATGTTTGTTAAAGGACGACACAGAATTTTTGCATATTACGCCGTTTTTCTCCCTTTTGCTAAGCGGTTCACGTTCCTTTTGCTATTTCATTGTGGACCTATTTGCTGGTGATGTAATAGAGTTGCAATGTAATACTATTATAAATGGTTATTACTTTGAGCTTTTTAGATTTCTTGTAAGTTTAAACTTATTATATTCGGTCTACTTCGTGTACATTTTGCTCACTTCGTGTACAGGCATTAAATTGGTGCGCAAATTAGTTCTTTCTTTTCGTTCATGATTTATTATGATTATCATTGTTATCAAATACTTGTGGTAGTGATAATTGTTCTAAAGAATCCTCGTTGAAGTACTTTTTGGCATAAAGCAAGTTAATTAATGCCTAGAAACATCACGTGAAATAATTATGATGGTATTGTTCATGGATTTCTACGTTGTTAATATTAGCTTTGTTTTTGAGTATTTACTTGTAATGTTTGGAAAAAACTTGAAAAGCTTGTAAGTTTCGTAAAGCTTGTAAAGTACTTTTTATCTCTTTGCTTTATAATGCGTTCTCAAAACGCTAACCTTATTTTCATAGAAATAAAATTGCTTCTTGCACGTTGCAGTTACGTGATGGCGGATCGACGTAAAACTGGAAGAAAAAAGACAAGTGATGTAAGAACTTTATTTCTTCATACCGAAACAGTTCTTAATTTATTTCATTGCAATGCAGTTGTTGCTCTATTTTAATCATATTTTCATGCAATCGATTTTTTAAAACTTTTTTTGCAATACTTTGTCAACGTTCATTTATCATAGAAGTTAAATTGAAATTTGTTCATCTAAATTCACCTTTTTCGTCTTTATAATGCAGTAATGGCAATCCATATTGTAGAATGAAAAGCTAACAAAAGAAGAAGAAGCTATTGCTCGTTATGTTCGATTTAATTGTCCAACGAAAACCACAATGTTCGAGGGCAATGAAGTCCATTATTTTACCGGTCTCACTTTTTTTCTTATTCTTCTTGTCCGACATTACTGTTGCTTAGTATCACTAAATTTAGTTGCATATTTGCATATATTTCAAGTATTACATTTTTTGTTAATTTAGGTACAAAAGCTGTTGATACTTTGTATGAGTCTAAGAAATATGGTCACATTTCGAAAAATGTCAAGTTTGCTACTCGACAAGTAGCAGTTGTGTTCATGCGCTCACTTTTGGAAAGTGGTTTATTTTTCCGTGCGAGAAAATTAGTCCCAAAAAAGAAAGATGACAAGAAGGTTATATTTTCTTTCTACTTATGGTCTCTGTAATTCTGGTTTCTCTAGTGATTGCATTTTACCTTCATTATCATATAGCAAAGATAACTTCTACGTTAAAACTTCAGGATCAGAAAGAAAAAATGCAAAATGATACCAGCAAATCACCGAAAAAGAAGTTGGCAAAATATGATTGTGATGAGGAAATGAAAAAACTAGAAAGTGATGATAATGATGAAGGAAATAGAAAAGAACTGGATAAAAAGAAGGTGAATACTTAAATCTAGTATTTGGAAGACTTTAATGTCGGTTATGCTTATGTTGTGTTTTTAGGAGGATGACAAAAAGAAAAAACGAAAAATTAAGTTAGAACTTCATCAAGAACAATCATTTAACGATACAAACGATGTTTTTGTTTGGATCTTTGACCCAACTCCTTTATATAAAAAAGTTATTGGTGCGCTAATGGGTTAGTTTTTCATTTTGTGTAGGACTTCATGATTTTTAAAACTTATCTAACAAGAATTGCGTAGATCGCATCTTATCATTGTATGTGGTAGGCAAATAATTGTGAAAATTTTCATGTACTATTTGAAGTCTTATCTTTCAAGTGACTCGCGTTTGTCTTTAAAATTAAAACAAAAAGTACTTCATCAAGTTTAGTCACATAACATGCTGCCTTTATCAGTTTGTTTTTGTACCGGTTGAACTGGTTAACATGCTTACTATCTAGCGAAAATGATGTTATCCAAATTAGTTTTGCAATTGCATGCGCTTTATCGTACAGTGAGCTCGTTTTGAAATAGTAAGAGGACATTCTTGTATTGGATTGAAAGATCCTCAGTAAAGTGCTGGTGGATTAATATTAGCAGTAAACAAGGTGTTGATTAGAAAAGTCATTTTTAGGAAAGGAAAAGATGGTCTGATTCAGCTCATTATTTCAGTACTGGGAACTATAGCGAGCTGTTTGTTTCCCTTGTGGCCGATGTGGTTACGTCAAGGAGTATATTATTTATCTATTGCTGGATTATCTTGTTTTGGATTGCTTATTGGTGTTGCAGTAGGTACGAATTCAATGTTGTTGTAGAACAAACTGGAAATACTTTTATAAATCAGCTATTTACCGTTGTTTTACTTTTATAAATGAGCTATTTCCCAATTGTTTTAGCTCGAACGGTGCTATTTGCCATAATTTGGGCGCTAACTATGGGAAGACATAAGTTATGGTTACTACCAAATTTAACAGAGGACTGTGGCTTTTTTGAATCTTTCCAGCCTTGGTATACTTATGAATATTGTCCTACTGGAAGTAGTAAGAAGAAGAGGGGAAATAATTGGAAAAAGAAATCAGGTCGTTTCATGATTGCGAATGATTTGTTCTGATTTCTTGTTAATTTTTCATAGATCTATTATTTTCGTTATTCGTATACCTGCTTTTATACATTAGCATTTTGTAGATGACGACCAACTTTTGATCAAAAAAACTGTAAAGGGAGATGATGGTGATAGTTCAGCAGCTGAAACTGCCAGGAAAACTGCAGAAAAGTCGAGGAAAAGCGAATATGAGGCTAGTGGTGATTCTGGTCACGATGATGAAACGGATATAACAGATGAGGAAAAAACTGATGGTGCTTCGGAATCGGAAAATGGAAGTAGTCAAGTAAGTTAAAATTATAGTTAAAAGTTGTTTCTTTTTTTAGTTAAAATTTTTTCGATATTACAGGAATTTTTTCTTTATCATTTTTATCTTTCTTAGTAGAGTAAATATAGCTTTAGAATTCCGAGTTGCAATTTCAGTTTCAGTTTTAAATGCTAAACTATGAAGTTTATTTTATATCTCTTTTCCCGTTGGAATCGAAATATGCTGGAATTTTTTCATGTCCGGGAAAATATTTCAACAGTAACTGTAATTAAAAGACAGAAATGCAATTGCGAGTATTTATATAATTTTTACAATTTACCTTATTGTTTTTCAGGTAACAAATAGTTCAGGTAATAATTTTGATAATGCCGAAAGTGGCGATGACGCGGATGATGCAGAGAGCCATGAAGTTCGACTAAGGCAACGTACCAGAAAGGCAGATGAAGATTTTGTACTAATTGACAATTAGTATTAAGTGGTTGATATGGTGCATTGAAGTATGAAAATCCAATTTACTTTCCAAAAAAAGTTAAGCATTTTCGGTGTAGCCATTTGATCACTTTTAGCGTTTTCACTTAGACATGTTTGTTTTTAGTTCTCTCATCGTTCGCATTATGTCTGATCTGAATTGTGCTCTCTATATTTTCATGCGAGAAGTCAAGAAGTCATTCTCAGTGAGTACATAAATTCATTGATCATAAATCTGGGATTCATGGAATTTTGCAGTGTTGAACTATTTTATATATCCATTGTATCACTGTTTTCCTTACGTATGCGGTCTGTACGATGTAAATATAGCTTATTATAACTTGTGGAATAAGCTAGTTTCGGTTTCGTATAATTTCGTAATCATATGCTTGTTCCACAGTTTTTTCAATTTTATACAATGTTTCAGTAAATATTGCTCTTTCCGATTTTTAAAATAATTACTTCGGCTCATCTTGTCTAAAATATTGCTTTCTGCGCTTTAGATTTTCTAGTCTTTCCGGTGCAGTATACAATAAAGTTTTCACTGTTCCGCAAATATTTACTGTCTTATGGTTTTTTTGGTTTTCAAGCTTTTCCATTATAATTTCTTTGAAGTTCAGAGCTTTAGCAAGAAGTTTCACTTTATTTAATTCCTGTCTATAATTAAGCTTGGTTATTGATTATAAAGTTCAGTTAATTATCTAGAACTCCGCATTATCTCTTATTTGTTTTGGTTCACTTTTTTTGTCTGCTCTACCTTGGTCGGAATGAGAATGGATTTGACCGGTATTTGTTGGACTTTTACTCGTCTCCAACATAGGAATGCATTGGCATCGTTATTGCACCACTGAGGGCCAACCAGTGTATAGAGTATCAGAAAGAAATCCTGAAGCTAGTTCCGTAAAGTCATTGCATATGTATCACCCGTCATTGCTCGTAGTTCCTACTTTCAATTATTTCTTCAATTTTAGTAATTGGTGAAGTGGAGGTGAGTACTATATTTATATAAAGTTTTGCTAGAAAAACTTGGACGTTATTGGTTAAAAAGAGTCTAGGAGTAAATTGTTTACTGAATCCGCATTTGTCGTAGTGTTTTCTTTGGATTTTTGAAAAATTATAGTAAGCACTGCTTTATTATTTGTTTTTTTACCTTGTCCAGCATTGGTTTTTTTTTCTTGCTGTTATGACGATGCACTAATACTACCGTTTCATGTTTTGGAAGTAGGATACCTGCACAGTCCAGAATACTAATGCGGTGGTTTGATGTACACTTGACCTTAATTTTGGTACTGGCATCCTACTGGTGTTTTGAGCAACTATGATAGTTATTTCCAACGAAATTTAGAAACAAGATAATTGATTTTAATACTTTTTGAATTGTGGGTTTACAAATAGTCTTTATAAGACAAGACTGAATAATAGTACTGAGTATTATGTAGGGAGTTGTAGTTTACAGCTTGATGCTTGTTCATTGTTTAAATCAGTAAAAATGATTCATATTAGTGAATTTGGTATGTGTTTTGTATAAATTAATTTGTCATACTTTTGTATTAAATTGTGGTGATTCTGTGCGAAATATATAACATACCTTGTAGAGGACTGGAAATTCACCCGTATTATGCATCGTCATTATTGACTGACCTGATTTAAACTGCAAAGATGTCATCCCTTTGCGATTTTTTTTTTCTTGAATATCTCAACCATTAATTTATGGTAGTCGTTTACAAGTTTTGCGAATAAGATGAATTCAGATATTTGCTTTCTGTTGCTGATGTGCATGTTTTTATTAATATTACTTTTGGCTATGGGAAAATTAGTCATTCTTCATCTAAACCGTAAACTAGCACTACATTCAAAAGTAATACAGCATTCCTTGGCTAACAATGCATTTTATGTACCGATATTACTGATGGTTGCACTTGAAATCCTTTGTAACTTTTAGGCATTTCTGGAAATTCCAGTCTGTTGTACGGTTCATTTATTCCAGCTTCATTCAGAACCATTTCTTACAATACTGACGAAAGGGGATAGAAGTGAGAATATTTATACAAATGGAACTAAGTAACTTAGCTAGGTCAGTAATTTTTTCAGTCAGTGTCAATGAGAATATGCAATGCAAAGCTGATCATACCAGCTACTAATTATTACAATAATGAAAGTGTAGCTGAAAGTTAATATAGAAGATGAAAAATCAGTAATGGAGTTGCATGCATATTATATATAAATGGTTACTATGAAAAGTGGTATTAAAAAGGAGAAATATACAAGTAAGATATTTGAATATATTTATATGGGGAGGAGGAAATGGCATCGCTGGCTAAGGGGATTGATCTTTCACGTGTTACTGACTACGAATCGACCTTTGATGATAGCTTCTGAACTTGCTGTTATCAAAAGATTTCCTGTGACTGTCCATAAATGATGCTCGATAAATGCTCGTCCACATTCTGCAAAAACTCCATAGCAGCAGCACTTATTAGCATTAAAATAGACTTTGGAAAAGTTGCTTCTGTCATTAACTTTCCCATATGCTTGTTTAACAAACTGAATCAAATAGAATACAAATAGCATTTGTTGTTAGACTGTATGTAATATTTTTGTGAGTTATATAATGCATGCCTGTTGGTATTTGTGTTACGCGCAAAAATATATTAATCTCAAAAGGCATTCGCAATTTGATAATAAAAAAGAAAGGGTAGATTTTAAAATGGAAAAAAATTTTTTTGATTACAACAGTGTTGTAAGTAATTCTTTTTTGTAAATAATGTAATTTGAGTTATTATTTGACGTAAGTAAAGCGTGTATATTTGGGGTAGAAATATGTTAGATACTATACTTGCAATAGAGAAGTGATTATCGCATAAAAACCATTCGTTAACATTGATATCGTTACTGTGAATGTATAAACAGAAATTTAGTGGAATCAATTCTGTTAATGAAAATCCACGGCTGGAAGTATTAACAGCTTTTTATTTGCAGCATTATACTAATTTTCAGACTTAAGCAGAATTAAAACTATTATATTCTGAAAATTCTTTATGCAATTTTTGTTTAATGGAATCTTATCAGAAGGACTGTAAATAAAAAAGAATATATGTATTTATAAGCACTGATTGCAAGCAGAAATACAATAAATAGAAATAATATATATGTACATGTTCTTTATTCCTACCTGATATGATATCGTAACATAGATGGAAGAAAAGTCGTTTCAATAAGATATGATGCCAATAATTTGTGGTCACTTGAACTTCCTTCTGTAAATATCTCAGGGAGTTATGTATTTTAGATAAAAAATACAATTTTCAGTCGTATATAAAATGAATCGTACCAAATTTGGTTTTTGTCTTGGCCCAAATTTTGGTGAAAAATCCTTTCATTGTAGCTGCTCTGAATGAATCTGCATCAACAATACAAATCTGCAATTAATATGAAGTTCCACATTTTGATCAATGAAAAAAGTTAATTTAATTAAATTAAAATATATCGTACATAATTTAATAATCAATCCATTTCTCACTAGTACCAAAAAAAAGTATAAGAAACAATTATTGCATTGTAGAGAAAATAATACAGCAGAAGCATGTCATTTTCACAAGTTGGGATGTCAGAGATTGCTTTATACTTTCCTGTACTAATTTAAATATTAAAACATCTGGATTGAATTATTGCAACACACATTTTGGACAGTATTAGCAATCAGATAAGTACACTTTTTAGGAGCATATATGCAAAGTAAGAAAAGTACGTCAAAAATCTCGTTGATCGGATCCAGTAATATCATATTGCCTAATTCATCAGTTTCATGTGACAATGAGAACACTTCATCATTGTGACGTTCCAGAAGTTGCTTCAGTGTTTCTGTTAGAGAATCACAAAAGTCAGGCATCGGAGTAACTGGCATGTGACACTGATGAGCAATGAACTCTCGGCATATCTGCGCTTGTGATAAATTTTTTGTTGATAAAATGAATTTTAAAAAAATTTTTTTCCACAAATGGCAAAATTAAGTATAAAGCTTGGTCACTACAAACAGTTTCAATGTATGCATTAGATCCAGCTACTATAAATTAGAAATAAATAAAAATTGAAAAAATCGTAAGTTTGTCATTTAATTAATGCTGCCAACCTTTATCATATATTTAATTTAATTAAAGATCGGGATTAAAAAGTTAATTTCAGCTAAAAAAATTACTTGAAAGTATATATAAGGGCAAATGAAACCTCATGAAATAGTATGTGTGATTTGATCCTCAATTCATCATTCTGTAATATTTCCACTTCGCGTACACACAACTCATCTTTTGTACACAAATCTTTGACATGATACACAAGTGCAGATGGATTTGTCACTAAAATATATTCTAAGTTGTATTTACGCATAAATTTGTAACAGCCTATGCAATATACTTTCTGATCACTGTAGTACAAAAATGGTTTTATGATAACTGATTGTAGGTTCACAATATGAAGCATAAGCATCATCGACTTCGTTGTAAGCATTATTAATATTATCCATTAAATTGACATGTTTGATTGCAGTTTGAATAAACTGATACAATGTGCACTCAACATTTACTTTACAAGCATTATTATTTTACATTTTAAATTAAAGCTCGCATTAAATATAAATAAATAAATAAGGTACATATATACATACCTTTGCCACAAAAGTATGTATGATAATTTATAAGCATCATATGTGGTGGCACTGTTTTAACTGCTACAGCTATGGCTTGTGAAACAATAAAACCAATTGAAATAACTGACTCGTTGAATTCATATTTCTTATATCTCAAATATTTATTAGATCACAAAAAAATTTTTTAAATTTTAGAATGGTTCAGTTTTTGAGAAAATTGCAATGACTTGGCAAGAACAAATGAGTAAGCACAACAAATTATTTGTATTTAAATCAAATGTTCAAAAAAACCTGTAAAATTTTTTTGAAAATAAAAATTTCTTTTTGATCATAATTTCTGATAAAGAAAACATATTTGAAAATGCATTCTTTAGATGAAAATAAAGTTAACGTTATTATGATAAGCCCTTTTGACATTACAGAAAAAGCTCTTTGAAGAGAATGCTAACAAATTCAAATGAATAACAACTAGCTAGTAACTTACTTGTAAGTATTTTCGCTTATTTTTTCCAACTTGAATAAATCAGTAAGTTTCATCCCAATATCTGATAATGAAAGTCAATTGAAATATTAAAAAACTTACACTATTTTTAAATGCAAGTAAAAATTACATTCTACGCAGTTGTTAAAAGACCAGATGAACTATGAATATAGTTTTTAAATAAAATGCACCGATACTAATAATAATTCGGACATATTAATGAAATTAAAACAGAAAAATCATGGTATTTTTGCAGATCGAAAATTGTCCAATTAGTATAATTTAAGAGAATCAAAAATAAAGCTCATTTTTTCAATGATATAGTCTTGCGTGAAAAACTTAGTTTGTTATTCCTTAAAACGAATTATTGAAATAAGGTAATTAATAAAGAATATTGCTGCAATGATGCTAAAATGAACTCACTTTAGTTTGTCTGAAAAGTAGTAAACTGAGCTTTCTAGCAAAAAATTCTGTACTTCTTAGAAGCTAAATCAAAGCATTACTAAAATAAGGTTTAAAAAGTTTATTACTGATTGATACAAAGTGAAGTATAAAGCATGCAAGGTGTAATGAACACTTTGCAGAGGACACACCAATTTGTGCGCTCGGTGAACTGCAATTTTAAAATGAATTTTATAGATGCTTTTAAGTGCCTTAAATAGGATGATAAATAGTTGAATAATAAATGAGTAAATGAATAAATGATGGAATTAATGACATATGCAACACAGTTACAGAATGCATAAATATAGCAAAAAAGATTATTCAAAATATTTCTAATTAGTAGTAGTAATACGTATGTATGGAATAGATTTAATGCTTCGTTATAGACTGAGCATAGTTGTAGTCTCTACTATCATAAATTTTATTATACAAGACCAATTTCTGAAGCACTACACCAACTAAACGAAACTGTTGAGAGCAACATCACTGCATACAAATAAACAACAGCAAATGAACGAAATGGAATTTGTGCGGAATATGCATTTTCTGGCATACTTGACATAGTAATACTTCAATTTCCGTCATTTAATGGCTTTAATAATTTTATTACGCGATGAATCTTTACCATTATTTACATTGTTATTAGAAAGAATACTATGCAAGATTCGATCCAGTAACTTCTTCAACACCCGAAAACTTCACGTATTGCAACATCTTTATTACCAAATACTTAGTTTATAATTTTCCATCTTTAGAGCTAAAAACTGCATTTGTCCTTTATTTGATTTAATAATTATTTATAAAGCCACTTTAATGCAACAAAATTTGCTCATTCAAAGTAGTACTCACATACCAAGAAATCAGAAATCATGAAGCATTCACTGTGCAACATTTATGGACAGTTACAGATAATTTCAAAATTAGAGTAAGTTCAGAGGCTATTATCATAGATAACTTTGTAGGATGACATATCAACGAAAGTAAATGGCATCTTAATCACTTCTGGCATTTTTTTACTGTCATATATATACATAAGTCGCACTCCCTACTTAGTTGCGCACTTGCTTTCAAATATCACTTGTCGTACTCTCATTTATATCCAAATATATATTTGCATTTCTACTTCTTCTATTAATCTTGCAATGTCTTTAAATGAGATTGACACAACTAAAAACATGACATCATGCGTTACTTTCAATTACTTCACTCAAAACCATTTCTTACAAAACTGCCATTGTTAGCATATTAAAAATAGATGACGAATCCCCCTCCGTACCAAGCAATGCTTCCTCATATTATTGGCCATCTCCATAAATAACTCGAAAACCCTTCACACCCACATCTAGTAATTCTTATTTCTCCAGACCTGCCTCCTCCTTCCTTTTCAGATATGCCTAAGCTTACATTTGGAGTATCACATCTGCCTCCACGCTTAAATTCCTCCATCAATTAATAAGGCTTCTTACTCCATGAAATTGATGACAAGTAGAGGACTTCCTATATTTATTTGATTCAAGATAAATTAACAAAAACTGAATAATAGATTTTATACCTTTGTCTGATTTAGAATAAAACACGAACAGAAACAAAAACAGCATCGGGATAATATTTGAGCTTTCGGCACTTATAGCCTGCTGCTACTGAATAGCAAATAGTTTTACTACCAAAAATTTTAAACAGTCTAGAGGAATGAAACACTACAGAACTTCCAGAAATCAAAAATTTTAATGGATTGACTAGATTATGAGCAACCTAAGAATCATCACCCAGCAAACAAAGATCGCTAGGACCGAACTAAATGTAGAAATCTTTGTCAAGTACTGACCCGACAGACAAATACGTTTCAAATGTACATGTATTTTATTGGTATCATATTCAACTGGTGTAACAACCAAATAAAAAACTTAGGGTTCATTTCTATACATTTGAAAGAACATATATATATTTCATCATAAAAGTGAGGAAAAAACTAAATATTTGGATAAATGCTTACCTTTCATTTAAAACGATGATTATGTCATTAAGCTATTAACTATATGTTTACTGTAAAAAGCATTCTGAAAAATACATCATCTTTCCTACACTCGACATATCCACATGGTGTTTATTTCACTTGATCAGTTAGTTTCATCAACAATAATTTCTTCGTAATTATCGTCTTCCAACTCCACATACTGGAGTTTACCACCTTCTAACAACATGCTTCTCATTTCTGATCGTAATGCTTTCATTTCTTCTAAGCAACGCATCATATCCCGCTGAAGCGCTACGTTCGCTTCGTAATAGCGTTGACAACATACATTTGGAAATCCTTGCTGATCATCTTCACTGTAAAATGTTTTAACAATGTAAAACCCAGAGTAGATAAAAGCGGTCATTAAGTAGTGCTTTTCATAACAAAAAAACAGAACATTCATGATGAAAATTCGGCCACAAAATTTCCTATAGTTAAAATCACTGTAAAACGTTAAGGCAAGAATTCGATAAAGCAAATTAAGAAACTAAAAATCTGAAATGCAATTTATAATTTGCAACTTTAAAATCATTACTTGCTATTTAATAATTCTTGATTTTCCAATGCATACCACGCATCACCTACATTGATTTCCCCCACATTTGTTGCATTGCTGGTATTGACACCTACATCACCTTGAATATCAACAACTGCAGAATGACCACAAAGAGGCGACTGATTTTTAGAAATTAAAGTACCATCTCCAAACCTGAGATCCTGAGAAAAAAAATAGTGAATATCGTCATATGCATCAAAAAATCATAGAAGAATTAAGGAAAACAAAAACATTACTTCAATACTACAATTATGGCATCAACAATACTTTAACTGCTGTAGAATATTTCTGTGTTCCTACTTGTGCCTCGAAACAAACTCGAAATGAATAAAATCTGAATAGATTTACTCTATAATTCACAACCTCACTTCTGCTGCAAGTGGTAATAACACGTCATAATCCAACATAAAAACCTACTAGTAATTTATATGCCATATTTTATTCATAATATCTCAAAAAATTAGTTGGGAAGTAAACAATAACTAATAACCGTTTTCGCCGAATCATGTATAACGTGTTCAAAATCTTTTGCAAAATAGAATCGTTCAAGATTTTCCGCCAAACTTTTCACCATATCTAGTGTGAAGACTTCACATTCTTCATGATGTACTGGATATACATTCTCAAGAATTTCGTTCCCTTCTACTTTTACGGTAGCTCGATTCATACCTAATATTGCTTATTACAGTTACTGCCAATCATTACAGAGTGAAATATTTTGATATCTTATTTCGTGGAAAGTCAAAAAAGAATAGTTCGTTTAATTTTTATCTACAGAATCTCCGATTAATTGAAAAATTTGGTAAAATGTCATTCACTCCCTGCATTCAAGCTACTAGTTATTGCCTGTCCACCTAAGATGAGGAAAAAAAAAATGCAATCTGGAGAAATTTGACTGTCTTAACTAACCTTCAGCTATTCCCAGTCTTCTATGTCTTCTACAAAGGACATCACATTTCGAGCACCGATAATAAAGAACCGAAAGTCTATCTGATTTTCCATTTATACGATAAATTCTGGCTGCCTGGCCATCCGGTTCAAAAATAATTAGCGGTGGATGTTTGAAACGTCCACTCATTATTTCTGCTTCATGGGCGATCCCACTAAAACGAAAAAAGTTCACATCTCTTTGGCATACAGAACAAAAAAATGGTATCACGTCAGTATTAAAGAAATTAACAATCCGCTAACTTGTTCAGATTAAATTGCCACGGCATTTTTAGTTATTAATTAAGCTAAACGAAAATGGAAAAATGCTACCTCAAGTTATCATCTGCTCCATCACCGTTTCCATCATTATTTATCAATCTGAAGGTTATTAATTTAATTAGATAAAACTACAAAGTTGTAAGGCTATAAAAAAACTTTATTTGACTTGATGACCAACATCGGTTTTTGAAGGATGGCTTTTCTCATGTAACACAAATTAAAGTCAAAGTATTCTGCACATGAGACAGCAAATTATTAAACATTAATTTATAAAAAGTCAAAGCTTAAAAGTTAAACAATGGCATGATGTGAAAATTAATTACCCTTTCTTATGACTGACTGGAAAAACAAAATTTATAAAGAAACCTGAGAAGTTCTCGATTTTTCTGTCTTCTGATTCTTTCTGCCTGATGACATAACCGACTGTATTTTTTAGGAAGCGATTTCCATTTATCTGGGAAAGTATCATCATCTTGAATCTGTGTTTTAAGCTCACGATTTTTTTGTGCAACCAGTGCTCCCTAAGGCAAAAATTACCACTTTACTGATGTGTAGCGAAAAAAAAGAATAACACGTGATAGCAAGAACCAAAAAAAAAATCTGGACTAAAAAACTAACTAGTTTCCTGGCTGCCTCAGGTGTCAAGTTGCCTGCTTGAATTCTAGCCCGACAAGCTCTATCGATTTCCTGAAGTTGTTGGACCTCTTTTGGTAGTGGTTTACACTCCGGCAAATGTTCCGGATATGCATTTCCAATTATTTGACCATCTTTGGTTTTGATGTGTGCAAAGTAACGCTTCGTACGTTCTCCTGCTAATGCGTTCACTAACAAATAATAATAAACGATAGACCTAAGCAAGGTCAAGAGCAGTAAATTTATTTCGAGATGATGAAAGTGAAAAATTTGCACAAAAAAGAGTAAACAGACCAGAAGTTTTTAGCTTGTTGTTCGCAATGGAGTCACACTTGGAACAACGATAATAACACGTTGCGCCATGCTTGCCGCGTCCATATGCACTACACCGGTAGATACGCACTTTGGATGGATCATTTTTTTCCGGAATAACTATTGAGGATCGACTGAGTCGTAAAGAACGAACCTGACGTGGGACAGGTGGCAAAGATGAAGCATTTTCGGTTCTAAAAGAGTTAAAAGGATCACTCAACCACTGAAAAATAATTTTATTGTTTTTATTGCATTACTTATTAGATGACTCTTGTTGTCCACACTTTTTCCCCTCTCGTTTGATAAAATTCTCGGCATCATGACTTTTGCTTATATCTACGCATGCATTTGTCTCAACTTTTTCATCGCTTATTTCATTTGATACATTTTGAACGTTCCTTTTTTTCGGCATAACAAGTGTTCCGTACTGAAATAAGTATGAAGTAATCATTAGTAGCCTTTAATGATGTTGCACACCCAATTTCGTGTTGCGGTACAAATACTTGATTTTTTCGGTACTGTAAAGAAAGTGCGGAAAATATACTGAAAACAAGAAGGAAACAGCATGTTAGCAAATAATGACGAAGACACACCTTTTCTTTAAGCATGCTGTGAACTCGCTTTCTAACAGTTGATTGTGACATCTGACATCCAGTTTTGTAAGATATCATTTCTGTCCCCATCTTTTCTGTCAACTCTCTAGATGCAATCATTTCCAAAACTTTCATTACGGGTGGAGAAGACCAATCTATTTTTGCAATGCTAAAATATACATGTTTACATATGAATAAGATCCCAAAAAAAATTTTCGACTCTTATATTCATGAACCCAAGATCCGCACCGTTTTTTGTAATATTGAAAACAAAGTATATTCTCTCTATTTTTTAAATACTTATCAGATAAACAGATACATCTCACGTAATTTGGACTGTAATCATAATAAATCTTTATCTAAAATGATAAAAATCAAATGTGAAACTAATCAGAATCAATGTGCTAGTCAAGATCACAGATTCAAACTGAAATTCAACTTACTTTGATCTATTGTCACTAGAAACAGATGAACTAGTAGTATCCATTCTGCTATTATAATTATCCTGAAAAAGTGGTAAAACATAGCTCGTTGCACAAAGAACTTCATGTAATAAAATCAGAACTAGAGAAGAACGCTACTAATCTACTGCATTTTAAAATACTAGTAATCAATATTCACTAATGTTATATATGATGTGAATTGCTCCAGACTTGGGTTTACTGGTTATATACATAACAGATATACTATTAACAGTGATCCGAAATGAAAGACAAAAAAAGTACATCAGGAACTGATTCAGCTTTTGTGACTTTCGATATCTCTTCTGGTGCCAATATTTCCGGGTGCTGGCTTGAATAATGCAGATTTATATTCATAGGTGAACAACATGCTATAATTTTCTTGCAAATATTACATTTGAAATCATGACCATCTCCACTAACGAGAGTCCAGATTCGACGGCTTCGTTTCCGGCTGGCAGTCAGTATAGCTGGATTTTGACTTGAACTCTTTTCGTTACTCTATAAGTTTGATGAAATACCCTTAAAAACTGTAAATCCATACAGTAGTACTTACTTTTATACTTGAATTGATGTCAAAGAAAAACGATTTCGGGAATTCCAAATCACAGAGAATTCACCAGCTATACAGATCAACATAGACATTAGAGGCGTAAGACATACATGAGAAACAAAACTCAAGATAACCCAAGTCCTTCACATAATTCGTCATCCCCAAGGGTTAGTAAACCACTTACTTGTTCTGAAGTCCCTTGTTTTGACGGAACTACCTTTAAGGATGTAAAATCTTTATTCTCCGGAGGTCCATGTGCCGTAAAACCAATTCGTTTCACATCCCTGAACTGACCTCAATGAAATCACAGATTATGAGTACAGCAAATTCTTTATTACAACGCCTATACACTGAATTTCCTAGTACGACCAGCATAAAACGAAGATAATCTGCAACAGAAAATAATACAAAAACTAACACTTCTTCGGAATCAAAAGACATCCTCTTTGTTTATACGTACTACTGGGATCTACTTCGTTATATTTAATACGTATATTTATGACCACACCTGAAAACCATACAGACTCTTCAAAATTATCTTGAAACATAAGTATTCCAGCACATATACAAATTAATGAATCTCCCACAAAAAATAAACAGGACGAATAATAAGTACGTCTCACATAAATGGAAGGACAGGGTGTGGAAACTTCTTTATGACACAAATCGATGTCCAACAGAAAAGGACAATACACATATATATATATATATATAAAGTAGGAACGAACTGTCCTATAAGTTCTGATTAAAATCATTTCTGAGACAAGTGCCTTTCTAATCAATTAGGACTTCCATTTATTAGTTGAATTGCAAGTTAAAATGATGGAGGGTAAGCAGACCTTGTTTTAACACTTCGCATATGTTTACATATAATTCAATATCATTACATTCTCATGCCATTCATGTGTTAAATAAAAACAAACCAAATAAATTTATTAGTTGTACAGATGAACAAATATCACAACAGGAAGAACTTAAAAACAATAAAACCCAATGAAATTAGAAATTAAAATTTCTGCTTTGGATACAGGGACATCTTCTTCCATGGTTTTCCTACTTTTGCGCAATTAAACTAGTTAGCCTAATGTTGGAACACTCTTTTGAATCTAGCACAAGAAAATTTGAGATTATATGTAGTGCAATTCTACTTAGCTGAAAATGATAGTACCATGCAGTACGAAGTATGAAAAAGAACTTAAATGTTTACAGTAAATTTCTTTTATACTTGCTTTCGAACATTATCATTGAAGTAACTTCAAGTTGATAACAAAATCTTCAGAGCAAATATAAAGATCATGGATTCAACAAGAGATCACGTATTCTCAATTCTCTTCAACTAATATACAAATATAAGTAAGAGGTTAACTGCCCACAAATCGAAAGGAAACTGCTCAGGAATGTTGTAGCATATTTTGAATATGTACAACAAAATTTATGTAAAGTATACAATAGACGTATAATCAAATACAAAATTAATTCCATGAAAGTAAGTTCCAGGAATTAATTCGTTTAGAAATCCAATCATTGTAATAAGGTGAAATACTGAGATGTAATAAATGATTATTACCACTGAATGCTAAAAAAAATTGCAATTAAATGTTGCTGAAGCTGCATCACAATAAAATACTTGATTTGATTCTCACATATCCTATAACCAAGACCCAAAAGACACCAATTTTTTGAACTGACCTTCTGCAGCATTTGTTTCTTCAAGGAGCAATAAGTTATAACTGAATACATGAAGATAAACTTAGACACCAACAAAATGTACTGTATTGTTATCGCCTTCTTCTATAATCTCTTCATCTACGTAATAATTGGCATTACATGTTGAAATACGACATATATTGTTGACCATTGATTTCATTTCATCTCGGTATCTCATCATTTCTTGATACAGCATCTCATTTTCTTCATAAAAGCGTTTGCAAACACACCTTCGCTCTTGCGTTTTGATTACTGATGAAGTGTCCATATTGCTAAATAAATGTTACAGTAAAATACATTATAATTAAACAAGTATTACATATTAGCTGAAGTCAGAAAAATTGATGCATCCCAACCTCACATATGTTTCATTTATGGCTATTCCATTCCCACTTAGTTGGCCTGACTTACATTGGAGAAACTTTTTCTTGAGCACATCACACTCCTGCAAAAATAAGGTCAACACAATGGAAACTCTTACTTTTGTCTAAAATTCTTTTAAACCCAAACCATAGAACGCTGAAAAAATAAATAAACACGTTTTGTTTTAATTTATATAAAAAGATACAAGAACTGATTTCAAGTGGATAATCTTAGATTTCACTGCAACCCAAAAATTCTTCAGATTACTGCCCAGCTCTCTTAAAGATTCTAAAGCTAAAGGGAGGCACTTCGCGTGGTGTTTAGGATACATGTCAACAATAAGATTATCTTGCTTCTTCAATACAGCAGGCACCAGTGCTGCAAATAAAAAATGAATTAGTTATGGAAAAAGAAATGGACAAGAATGTCTCACTGTAGAATAGAAAATTATAAACTAGCTAAAAAATATTTGTAACAGAATAAAATCATTTCTATATTATGTTTGAGAAAAATGAATAATCTGAACTTTAGATTTCACTGATTTTCATACAAGGTATAGTGCCGTGAAAAAACCAAAATTAAACAATACTTATAGAACCAAGAAAGATGGAAAAATGATCATTATCACAAATATAACACTAATAAGCTTACTATTATCTTTCTCACACAATTCATCGCATCTTAAACAGTGATAAAGTGTCATTTTCTCATCATTTTTGGAGACTTCGTCATAAATCCTAACTGACAATCCACCATTCTCTGCTACGATTACAGAAGAAAGCAAGACAAGGGTCGCTGATGCACCGCCAAACTCCGTACTAAAAATTGATAACAAGGTCTTCAAAATACACGATCCACTTTTTTTTGCCGGCCATAAATGCAGTAAAATCGGTATAAAATACTTTAAATATGATCGTTACCTTTTATAATCTGCTCCTTCGGAATTTTTGTTGTCACAACTTAAATTTACGAATCTGAAATTATCAACAGATATAGTGAAATCAGAACAAAATACTTTAAACATGATCGTTACCTGCCATAGTCTGTTCCATCAGCATCCTTGTCAACGCAACTTTGACTTATGAATCTGAAACGATCAATATCAATGTAAGAGATTACTCTACCCGAAAAATACTTGACTGCTATAAGATTTTTACCATAAGTATTTGTAATTCGGTTCTTTACAAAGTTACCTCAGTAAAAAGTCCACTTCCCATGACATATTTTCACTTTTATCGTGGTTCAACCCATCGTTTTTACATTCTGGCTGCTTTCTTCTAATATCTGCACCAAGCCTTGAATACCAGTTCTTGTTTGATTTCAACTCCACAATATTTACCTTCTGAAGTTAACCTCAATAACTTATTTAATGATATTGTCTAATTTATTTGAAAAATAAATAAATCCAAAAGTAGAAATTCCTGACTAGTAAAAAGCACCTCGTTTTGACAAATGCGATCAATTTTCTTGAAGTCCTGTATTTTTCTTGCTATTGGATGACAAGCAGGATGATGCTGCGGATGAATATTTCCAGATAGTTTTCCATTGATTGTCTTGACATATGGAACGCTGAGTTTCGAACGTAAATCACCTAAAGAACAAAAACTAGGACGGAAACATGCGCGAATTTTGGTCGGAATTTCTAGATTCAACAGATTACTGAATAAAAAATTTAAAAAAGGTTGAAAAAACATTTTTTCAACTAATTACGAGGATGGTTATGTTAGTGTTAAACTCCAGATTTTAATAAAGAATAGTTTGAAAACGCCACTATCACTATGATAAAGTAGTAGTGAAATGATATACCAATAGCTTTCTTTTTGAAGGATTCACATTTTAAACACCGATAATAGTTTGTGGATGTTGAAGTTTCACGACCTAAGAGCTCGTAAATACGGAATTTCTTAGGATTATATTTCTCCGTAATGGCAATAGATGCTTTGCTTATTTTTGCTGATACCACTGAATAACCAGAAGATGGAAACGAATATGATGTACTAAAACAATGCAATTTGTACTACAGAGAGAATGAAATGCTATTCTAGACTAAAATAATGAAACAAAAGAATATAAAATCTAAACTTATTAATCGTAATTATAGAATGTTATCACAGCCCTATTCAATGGGATCAAATTAACAAACACAATAGATTAATCTAACTGTATTTCTAGAAAGAACGTAACCAAAAACAAAGTATAATTTCATCACCAACCATACAAACTTTTGTAAGGAAAAGGAATATCTCATACTCAGCTGTAATAAAGAGCCAAGAAAACCTTATAAATAAACTTTTCTGCAAATATTTTCATAAAAATATTTTTTCTCAGAATCATACTTTGTTATTCTTTTACGATTTTTAAGCGTAAGTAATTCTGGTGGTCGCTGCTCGGCCATAATTCATGAACACTCGTAACTGCAATTTATTACTTGATATTACAAACTTACCAACTGGTACTGCAAGACTTTTTTTGAGAGAAAATAGAAACAACTTATACCTGAAGAGGGTAGATAGCCAATAAAACCCCTGAATACACTTACAGCCTATATTTTCATAAATATATTTCTTTCAAAGTCATACTTTTGAATATTTCTACACATAACTACTATTGATGGTTACTCCACAGCCATAATTAACGAGTAAAATAAAAACTTAAGTACATGTCTTACTTACCACAATTACAACAGCGGCCAAATCACATGCAACCATTTATCCAACCACCTAACACACACCAATCCAAACATACGACCACCTAACTCGCCTATCTGTCAAATTGCTATTATTTATCTATCTATCTGCCTATCTATCTGTCTATCTATATGTCTATCTATCTGTTTACCGCCTATGCATGTATCTATCCTTTTACCTCTCCATCTCTCACCATACTAACCTTATGCATTATCCGTATATTACTGAAAACATAATACGATGAAAAAGATTTTTAACTATTACAAGATTTCGTGTTAAGAAACGGCGAAACTAAAATCACATTATATCACATTAATATCACATTATTACATGTTTTAGTCTTGGCATATTCCATTTGTTCCACGTGAATTGTCTGTTAATTGGCAATTTCGTAAGATACTAATGATAATAACGAATTGAATTATGTCTTTTTTAATCATCGTAATAATCTGGATAGAGTCCAGAAGATGAGCAGCAATAGTGCTGCCATTAATTAGCTAATCAGTTTTCTTAAATTTCTCGGTTTTGCTAGTTCACCATTTTCTTTTCTTCACATTATTAATGTGCATAAATGAACGATCTTAAAAAGATTACTGTCTATGACGGTAAAACTGAATTGCAGTTATTGAAAGTAAAGGCATTCTGTAGTATATAAATTTAGGATAGGTTGTACTATCAAATTAAATTGCATTAGTCTCAAGTAATATTATATAACTATACAAGATTGAAGTTTCTTTACGAAAACACCGGTATACATTAATTCATTTTCGCTACGTGTGTTGTCGGGAATGAAAAATTATGTGTATAGAAGTAACGAAAAAAGTTGATGATTGATTGAGTGGAATTGAGCACCTGTTGTTAAACTGAGTGTAATAAAATTTTAATTGAGCGAAACTTTGATTAGGTTTGGTTTGTGAATGCGCATAATTTTTGAATAATCTTTGTAATGTAAGTGAATTTTTGTACATTATTTCATCTTTGCAGCACTAATTTGTTGCTGATTTGAAAGCACTAATCTAATTAGCTTTCAGCTTAAGCTGTTGCGTAAATTTTATAGTTTAGTATCATTTATTAGCGCTGTATTAAAACTGTACAGATTTTTGTGAGGTTTTTCTGATAAAATTTCATTAATACCATTTTCATTTTTTAGATTTCTTTTGCGGCGGTAATAACTTTGAAAGCTACTGGAAATGTCATCCTTATACAACATTATTGTGAGTCGAAAGTAGGTTTAGAAAAAAAAAGAATGTCATACATGACATTCGGTTTTCACTTCAAAATATATCACTGATTTGAATTATTATTAAAGTATTCGATCTAAAGATTTGTCATATGAGCTGTATTTATTTATCACACTGTGAAGTGAACTAAATTTTTCTGCTAAGTCCATTTCACTTTTCCAGAAACTGGGATGGACAACAACTAACTCAGCATCTTTTTGCTTATAAAGAATTGCTGACCATTAGCAGTAAATTGGATATGAATCAAATCAATGAAATTATGGATGTGATCAGCGTACATCTCAAAAAGGAAAGTGAGGTTGTCTACCTTTGATTCACTTTGAAAATTATTACCTCATAGTGTAGTTTAACTACTTTTTTAGAATCTTAAGTTTCATAGATAATTAATATTATAGAATAATAAGTCTGCATTTGTATTAGCAAGGTTTTTATACACAACTAGAACCACCACTATGAGTTATTGTATTTATTGCTTTGTGGATTGTAGAGAATAGCCAATTAGCAGTCGTTCATTTATCATTTATTTATCAGTAACAATCATTGCTTTTGTAGAAAAGAGTGTACGGCTTTTCTCTTGTCAATTTGTATCAGTGTTTCAGTTCGAAAGGTGTTTAGCTACATCTGTCAGTTTGTCTTACATATTTTGATTTTTATAATTATATTGTTGATATTATCATATTATCAATCAACGATAGTATTGTACCAAATAAAATATCAATTAATTTGCAGTTACCTTTACTAGAAATGTTGCAAGTAAGTGCTGGAATTCTATGTATTCTTGAAGAAAAGGCAGGAGCAGCACTTGATGGGAAAAAGTTGATGCAAAGGAATTGGCCTGTTAATTTTCGTATTGTCATCAGACGTCTGCTTCAAACACCAGCAATTGGTAGTTACGTTCTGAAGTTCTGTTAAATTTTTAAGAGTACTCCTTCTACGTTTAATTAACTTTAATGTTAATTTTATTTCTTTTAGTTTTTGTTTCTCTAGTTTGTGAATCGAACTCATCAGAAAAATCGTTATTCGGTCAATACTTGCCGGTGTTGTTTGAGCTATCAGATGAATTGATTTCAATAATTGGAAGCTCATGGTTTGAAAGTGACCCCGAATTCTTATTGCTGTTATCATCTATGTCTTCTATATATTTACAAGATGTGTTTCAGATGAAGGTATTGTATTTATTGGATATTTTTCAAACATTTCGAATTTCTTTTTCAATGAATTTTTTGTATCTTCTACTGGAAAATTTCATTGGTTCACGTGTGATTATTTAGAACCTAACTAGCTTTACATAATATGCATATATTTTACACTAATTTTGATCACCAGCTTTGTCCTAAAGTAATCTAAAATTACAATATGCTCAAAAATAAAAAGGTAATTAACAAGAGGTTTGTTTGTTTTCGTTTTATCTGTTATAGACATCTGTTGGGCAATCATTCGTTCATGGACGTCTTAACTGTCAATTTTTACGTTTTGGTGAAGACACCAACATTTTGCCAGACGATAAGTTCGTTTTTCAATCGAGTTTAATTAAGATAACGTTGCTTATGTTTTTTCGATTTCTTAAGTTGAGTGATCAGGCATTTTTTTTTGCCATTAAGAGAAGTTTAGCTATGTTACTTCCATTATTTTTGCGCTTCCATACTTGTTGCCATGTTAAGACAAGGTTCAATTTGTCTTGCAATGTCTGTAACTGTTGATAAGGATAAAGAACATAAAATTGTTGTAGGTAAGCGCATTTTAATGGCAAATTTCTTATTTTAAGCTATAAAATAATGTGTAGAGAGAATTCTATTTCTAGAGCAGTTTTATTAAGCAAAATTTTACGACAATCCGCAATTTACGCCTGTGAATTCTGCCAGAGTTGTGATGAAAGTTCTGACGTTTCAAAAAAAATTATAATTTCGATATTCCAGTTTCTGTGCATGTACATTGATTTTGGAGGATTAATTGTATTACCTCCAGAATCCATTAAAAATCTTGGAAAAGCACTTCTTTATCATTCAGGTAAATATCTTTGAATTATTGTATCACATCATCAAGTAACTAATCTCATCGAAATTCATGTTGTCATACAAATATTTCACAAAAAGACATTTTAACATTATTTTAAAGGATTTCTTCTATCTGAATAATTGTAATTGGTTTAAATATGATTCCATTGCCTATCATCGTTCCATCAGGTGTCAGGTATACGTTTCCAGTCAGTGTTTCATTACAAAATGTTGGTTGGAAATAAATAGAATGAAATCAAAGTTTTGAGACAATCAGTTTTGCACTATTAATATGTTTTCGTAACATTTCGTAATTTTTTCATCTATAAGTGCCACTTTTTTTGTTACACTTAAAAAAAATGTTTCTTTTATAGTTGATTGTTCCGAAATTTCATTGGTTCCATTAGAATGTTTTGCCAAAATAATCTGCCACTTGCCAAATTTACCGGACATAACACTCGACACAATTATGAGAACACTGAATAGACATTATACCAGAAGAAATAAAGAAGATGTTGTTCATGTAAGTAATTTTACGATGCTTTTCGTCTTATGAGAACGATTCATTTCTAACATTCGAAAAAATATCCATTTTCAAAGAAAGATATGACTGTATGACCAGTGGTATCAACGAGAAGAGCAACCAGAAGCGCAGGGAACCATTTATTAAGTAAAATGGTTCGACTGCTGTAAAGAAGTATAAAAGTAACTATTAATATTCAAGTGTAGAAATTAAAAAAGTAATTATAGAATTCAAAAATTTACCGTTTATACTTCATACAAGAGTTTGAACCTTTCCAGAGTGTTTCTCAGAACATTTGAATAACGGAATGTAAAATGATTTTGTAGATTCTGGAAACAATCCAGGTACAGTTGGAAGGAACTGTTCATGACAAGAAGTGGTGTTCGAAGACTGGCATACATGAAATGAATAGTTTTTTGCAGCAGATAAAGTCAGGATTCGGAGTTGCTTGATTATAATTAAAGTAGCAGATTTTATCATTAAATATTTATTGCTCGTCCATAATTACCCAATTTTTAGGGGACATTTCGGCTAAAAAATAAGATGTTTTATTAAAAAATAAGCCAAAAATCTTTAATGGTAGTGCGTACTGTCTCAATTTTTTTGTTTTTTGGAAACAGACTTAAACAAACAGCTTTTAAAAAAATAAAACAACTAAAGAAAAAAAAACATAAAAAACAAAAATATGGCTTCATATATATATATATGAAACTATGCCATATTTTTTCAATTATATTTATATATATTTGTTATTTCTTATCAAGTGACTTCTATTTTGTCATCATTAATTTTGTTGTGTGAACCATGAAATTGAAAATATGGCATTAAATGCAAACAAAAATCTGGGTTGGGTTTTTTTTCCAATTTTAAGTGGTTTTTGCAGGGTAGATATAGGAATTAAAATGAATTAAATAAAATCAAATATAAGTACCATCCATTTTGTGCCTATTCATGCGATTTTGTTGACAACTATCTTTATCTTAATCATAATCAAATAAAAAAATATTGCTGTTAGTGTAAAGCTTCATCTATTTTATAAAAGCTTGAAAAGTATTTAGTTCTTGCTAAATATAATTAGTCATTTCTAAGTTTTCTTGCTCTGAATACGTGTGAAACTGAGCAGTCATAGTCTCGGTGACATTTCTATTAACATTTTGTGACAATTGATGTACAGTGCAAGCTGTTAAAATCAAGTTTTTGAAATCGGAGAGATGATTAAGATTCGCATATTTTGTTTGAAATGTCAGGTCAGCAGCTATTATTGGTATTAGCTCTTTAAAAAAGCCATGTGCCATACTGTTTTTGCTTTTGATTGTAATGAAGCGTTATTACTTTCTATTCGTTGCTTATAATGTTCTCCTTCTTTTACATTATTTAAATCGTTTGCTATTCACCTTTCGAAATAGATTATTTAAGTCTTTCACACAATATCTACATCAATACTGTGATATTTTCAGTTTTCCATCTAGATTACTAGGACTCCGCACGATCATGAAAATTAGCTATGTATTCATGGCATAAGAATTACTTTCGTTAATTTTTGTTAATGCTTGCAAGTAGTTCATATGGGATTTGTGCGGTTCTATTTTGTGCTTTTGGTGGTAAGGTAGGCGATATTTCATAAGTAGTTCTATAGAATGCCAATTTTTGTTTTTAAAAGTCGTATGCTTTTTTCAGGTTTTCGAAGATTCCATCGATACAGTTTTAAAGTTTTATCAAATTTTCATACATTCATTTGCGTATATCCCTGTTGTGGTCGTATTCTCGATTGTAAATATGTTTATTTTGTATCGGAATCTATCATCATAGGATTGTTACTTTAAGTTTACATCCATATTTCCTTTACCATGCTTTGCACTTGTTCTAGAAGGAAGTATATCACTTGCATTATCTTTATCGAGCTTTGTCGCTAGTATTGTATTTGATTTATTAGGATTACTCTTCCCAAGGTTGAAACAGTTTCATATTCCTTATTGTTTTCTCAGGTTACGCTACCTAATCTTCTCGTGGTATGGAAGTTTTAGATAAGAAAAATGCGATATTAACGAATGTTGAGGTCTTAAAAGTGTTAAGAGACACTCGAAGAAAAGAAAATGCTCTTCCTAAGCATCAACGTTCATGGAGCGTTGGCACAGTTTTATATGAGGTATGCTTATTTTCAAGAGTTGTTGGGACCTATGTTTTATTTTATCACTCATGATTCTTGACATTTGAGCTTATTTTTGCTTAATCTTTGATCTGTAATTGGACTTCTCAAAAGCAGAATTTCAGTGCAGATAAAATAAAGTTATGACTTGAAGTTATGTTGATTATGTATTTCTTAATTATATTTAGTACTCGTTAACATAGTTTTTTGTTTCATTCATCTTCAAATTATTTGCCATGTCCTTTTACTTGATAGTATTGTAATTGTAGACTATGAAATATCTGCAAAATTCACCGGCTGGATCACAAAAGAATAGCTCTGTTAAAGAGTTTTCCAAAAAAGTACAACCGTATGAGGTTGTTTTTAATATTTAACTTTATACAGTATACTTTTTTAAAACGTTATGTAGTTTTGAAGTGTTCTAAAATTTGTAATCTCCTCTTCACTAGGCATTTTTTTTTTAATTTTTCTCCTTTAGTCTTTGTTCATTGATTTTGTAGTGATATATACTGATATTTCATTTTTTAATTTATCGAAAGAAAAGATTTTTCATTGCTAACATTTTATTTATAGTTATTGTTGGTAGAAGTCTTACAGCTCATAAATTTGGAGGTGTCAAGTGTTAAGGAGGTGAGACTGTGTTGATTTCTCAAGTAATTCCCAAATACTTGGATTTTATGATAGAAATTTTTGCCTTACACAAATGGACGAATCATAATTATTTGACGCTTGTTGCATTTTAAATTTTTTCCACAATTTTATGGCTTAGTTCTGTTCTTATTTATTTGTATGTATTCTCTTGAGTGTTCAAAGACAAGTTAAATTAGAATGCATTATTGTTCTAACAATTTTAATTTTAAGTTTAGATGCGAGTAATCATAGAAGAGGTCGACGAGCGTTTAACAGAAGAACAAATAAAGTCGTTAGTTGCAGTAAGTGTCCAAACCTAGAATATATCCATTTTAAGATCATTATATGTCTAAGTAATTATTTATGTTAATTTTTCGCAACGGTTTTTTTTTCAGTTGATAAAGAAATATTTGTCGCGACCCAGAGATAATCCGTAGCAGAAGTTGAAAATGAAAGGAAACTAATAACCGAAATACTCGTTTGTGAACTGCTGTGGTAGATTCTTCCTGCAATCATTTACCACACAAAAATATATATTTATAATATATTGTGGTGAATAAAAAAGCATTAACTGACTGTTTAATTTTTGTAAGTTTTCTAGACAGATTATCACTAAGTTGTCTCATTATAAATCATTAGATTAAATATGCGGTAGTCATAGTTTTTCAAACACTTTTTCGTTTGTTCATGCAAAATTTGAGAGGAAAACGGTTCCTAACAATTCGTTCGATTAACATTTGAATAATTATTGATTGATGGTATCAAATTTTCTCAAATTTCGTCATTCTTCATGCTTCTCGTCTTTTTGTGCAAATACTGCCGATCAGATTTCAACTTCTTTCTTGGAAGTTTGAGTTTTTTTTGTGTTCGAAAGCCTTTGTACTTGGTAATCTTTCATGACGCATTTCAGGACCATCTAATGAAACCATCTTTTTCTTTGACCAGATTTATAACTTTCTTTCAGATGCACACAAAATATATACACAAGTTTTTCTTCACACTTTGTTTTGGTCATCCATCAGTAATGAGAAGTGATAAAAGTAGAATTTAGGCTCACACTGTAGATTCCGAAATTTTCGCAAAAATTTTGGCATATTTAAAATGAATACAATGATGATAACTTTGTTTTTTATGCAATCATCTCACACTTCAATAGGAAGTGAACAGTTCATTTATGTCTAAGTCTAAGCAACCTACTGTCTCGCCATCTTTTCTAATTGCAAAAAAGTTTTGTGCTATGCTAGTATTATCTGCTTAATTCTTGAACCACATTTAAGTCGACTACAACAGACTACAAAAGTTATTCGACAAAAACAATTAGCAAAATTCATGAATTCTGAGTCTCGGTATTCATTTGCTACAAGATCAATTCCAGATCAAATTTCAGATTACTGTAGTATAGAGGATACTAGTTGTATATGTCGCTAGAAAGTATTTTGGGACTAGGCATCTAATGTGATTTTTAGGCTTAGAATAAACTAGAACTCTAATACAGGCAAGGATTTTTTCTATAATAACTCCAATAACTTTTATAATAGTATCATCTAGTGATAGCTTTTATTTGAATGCTGGATAACACAAAAAAGTAAAGTAAAAAAGTTCCTCAACTGTTATCAAAGACTGGAGGGAACTCTAACCTTCATATTTTAATTTTTCTTTCTCTACAAAATTTGGATTTATTATTGTCAGTCAAGTTTACTGATATGCTACAAATAATATAATGAAGCTGACCGGTCGGTGCAAAAATAAAATCCGTTTATTGTGCGACAACCTTTTGCTGTTCAACTCTTTGTAGCCTATATTGAGTTTGATGTTCAACCATAGAATTTGTTTTTACATAGTGTAGTAGGAGAGAAAGCCCAATAAGGTAGAGGTATAATATTTGTGGAATAAATTCAATAATAAAAATATGCAGAAGCTAGAAAAGACAAAAAAGGCTACTCGAACATATTAAAAAAAACTGTTTTTCAAATAAAAGCAATAAACGAAATATTTTTTGCATTCCTCATACCTTATTACTAGTAATAACAGTGCTATATAAATGGGAAATGCAATGTAAATATAACTACAGTTTATTTTCCAGTTTATTGACAGAAACTTACGTAGGACGTCATTATGATAGTTAATGACTTATCCCAATACGTATAAGTAGAAAAGAATGCTTCAGTAATACCTCACCGGCCATTAAATTGTTGGATTTCACCACAAATAACAAGAAATAAATTTTTATATCTGAGTGATAGCTGTGATGAAGACATGTTCAAGCTTACGAATGAGCGATTTGCGCGATAAGCAAGCAAAACCATATAGTGTCAAAAATATCACAAAACCCAAAGGTATTACTTGATGGAACTTCTAGACGAAAATACTCAAACGATTGATAAATACAATACCGGTAGTACTATTTTTTGGCATATTTGACTAAGAAATGATATAGAAAGTTATTAGCACAAAAGGTACATTACAATCATTTGGTTTCTAAAGTGCATTAATGTTTTTTATATCATATTGAACGATGTACTGCCTCCAAGACTAAGTTCTTCGTTATAAGTCTAATTTAATAATTGTTCATCATAAACGCATTTGAAAATGCATAAATTGAAGAGGAAGTAAAAAAATTGATGATGGAAAAGGAAGAATAGCAAGCATATGAAGGAAGAAAGAAGGTTACAGTTGAGAAGTTGCCAAAGAAAGTTTTTAAATTTGAGTTCACTTTCAGATCATTCACTAATCGGAATTGGTAGTGACCTTTGATATTTCTGAAGTCATTTGATTTGATTTTGATAGCAAAGTATCAAACTACATTAGTAATTAATAGCTAAAAAAGTTAGCACAAGCAGTTGAAGCACATTGTACTTATTTTATTTCATTATGAGAACACAATTATACTCTTTATGATTACTTTTCTATCTAACTTATCGCTCTACAAAACTCGCAACAATTTGCATACCAAAATTTTATGCTTTATATTTTGCTAATTTTATGCGAAAATCGGTTTTTAATTGTGTTAGTGATAATATTTGCTACATTTGTTATCAAAAAAACAGAAAGAAAAATAATACAGTGGGTTTTTTTTTAATGCTGCGAGAAAGAGAATAATAATAAGTAATGCTTAAATAAGTAGTAAGCATTCTCCGATGTTAAAAAGTTTTAAATTTGATTGCATTAATAATGAATAGTTTTTTAATATCAAAAGCTAGATAATCTCTCTGTTTGATACATAATGAGCGATTTTCATGCTAAAATGATAGAAGCTTTGCTAATTAACATCATTAATTAATATGCTAGTTTAGTGTCGAATTTGAATTTCACTTGAGTGATTTACTAAATTTTCGATCACAGCTATTGTCATTGTTATGGGTGGATGTGAATGTGGATGTGGATGTGGATGTGGATGTGGATGTAGATGTAGATGTGGATGTGGATGTGTGATGCCTGAATAATTAACTAGCTCTGTAGAAAGTCCACTTGATGAATGCAAAACGCTTAAAAAATGACTTGTAAAATTTAATTCATTTCAATTAGCTTATGAATAATTAGTTTCCAAAGATGAGTTTTATAAATCCGTTTACTCTTTTCTTACTGTATCATAGTTACTACTTGTGAACAAAATTTTAGCTAATTTTAGTTTTCAAATTAGACTTCATTTAATTGTGCTATCTAAAATTTATAAAGTAAAAATTACAAAAATGACTTCAAATTTACAAAATTCTAAGTCTAACTATTCCTTTTATCCATTCATCATCGATAATACTCAGAAAGTGAAATAAATGAAGTTTTCTCACTGAGAATAACAGCAAGCAATACAAAATAATATAGAAATTGTACTTGCGAATAGATAGATAAACGTTTATTGCATAAATAATAATAGTTATTGTCTTTTATTAAATTTCTTAGTCTAATTAAGTCCAAGTCCAAGATTGTTTTTATATGAATTAATTCAAATGAAATAGTGTTTTCGATTATTATTAATTGCGTCAAATTGAAATTTGTGATGACCTAAGAACCTGTCAAATTTAGGATGAATTGAACATGTTTATTACTGGTTCATTTCTGACAAATCGGTTGAAATTTGTCGTATTTCTCCTCCAGACCATATGCTGAAAGATTGTTCTTAATCTGACCTTAAATTTAATACTAGCTAGTACCAATCATAAAATCTTAGAAATAATTAATACGTTTAGTAAATCATTTCTTTATCTTCTTCAATTCAGTCAGTACAATTCTTTAAATTGTTTGGCAGTAGTATGAAAAATAAATATATTTCAAATTAATGGAAGGTAAATTTTCAGTTTATTTTCGTCTCCATTTCTCTTTCTCTTACAAATATTACATCAAATTTTTTAACCTTTAATAAGCAAAATAATGTTGAATTCAGAAAGATAAGAAAAAAACTTTAAACATCATCCAGCCCAACACTCCAAAGAAGTAACCTCTAAAACAATAGGCATAAAGCTATGATTAGCTCCACAAATTTCTGAACACTGACCATAAAACAATCCTAATAAAGAAAAATTTAAAAGTAATTTTAGTTAACAAACCACTAAGAGCATCTATTTTAATAAAACATTTTGGCAAACAAAAAGAATGAATAACATCTCCCGAAGTGCAATACACTCCTACACTTAACCCCGCAGGCAAAACACAACGATTATCCACCTCTAACAAACGAAACTCCCCCGCCCGCAAATCTTCTAAAGGCTTTATAAAAGAATCAAAACTTAATTCTGCTCTATTGCCACTTACTACATTTCGATTCAAAAATTTTGTACCTTTCTTAACATTGTATTATTAAAAAGTATATATATTATATTCATAGATAGTATTGCGATGTTGATAATGAACTTTCATGCAGTTCTATCACTGATTTTACATTGTGTTGGGTTATCAGTTGGTATCTGGATGTGGTACTTATTTCCGAAAAAGGTAAGTAAAAACTAATATAAAGTTTTTGTTAATTATTTAATTGTAAGTATTTTACAAGCATTATATTAAAATCAGTCTTTAAGATATCATAATTCCATATTAGCCTTACTTTTTTGCAAAATTTTTCTGCTTTTGTTTCAGTAATTCATTTTGCTAACAATTTTTAGCCTTTACTGAATGTTCAAGCTTCGATGTACGACGAATGTAAAGGAAAGGAACTTCGAACGATAAATGAGCATTTTAACATAATACTCATTTGAAAATTATTGCTGTTAACTATCATGGCACAGTTCACACCGTATCGCTTTTACTATTTGCTAGTAATTTTTTACACGTCTCTGATTCATTTCATTGCAACACTTTTTAACTCAATTCATTTACTGTTTTTATTTGATTGACTTTTTGGTTTATTTATTTTCATTTGTCTTCAAAATATTTATTCACAAATAAAAAGGTCAATAAAATTTGCAAAAAAAATTATAATTAATAAAAATGCAATTATTCATAACATTGTTAAGCTAAAATTTGGTCAATTATACACTATTTGCTGTCTAATCTGATAGTATTTAAAAAGTGTTAAGCTTATGACAAATTAATTCTACTGTTTACATTAATTTCTTCCACTTTGCATTTTTATTCCATTTCGAACTCTATCTAACACGCAAGTATTACGTTACTCATTTATCAAATTTATATTTATTAATTTTTTAATTAATTAATTTTTAACAAAATCTTTAGCATACGATATGTGGCAATTTTTGATTACATTAGATTACTTTTATGTTCTAAAATTTTTATCTTCATTCAGGATTTTAGTTAATGTTTGATCAATCTGTATATGGTAATTTTTAAAATTAGACTGAATGGCTTTGTTTTTCATATTGAATCTCATTGTTACATACATGTTTTATATTTGTACTCCCTGAAATCTGCGACTTTATGTTTCTACAAGAAGCCAATGAATCAGAAATAAAAATTGTCATTAGTAAAAGATTTTCACTTTTATATTTATCAATCAGAATCATCTCATAAATATGATTTGATCTTTTTATCAACATATTTTATTACTGTGCCAGAATCTTGCAAAAAACAAAAAAAATAAATAGTAAATAATTGTCATTATCTCCTATTTATATCACCAAATTTCAAATATCTAAATATTTATATCTTTCTGCAGATTTATCACTTCTTACAATAGCGGTCATGCAGATATCATTCGTTATGGAAATATTGTTGTTATATACCAGCACAGGTAATAAAACACAAAATTATTGGATAAATTGAGTGCAGTATGATCAAACTGCTTTTATGATCTATCTTATTCTATTGAAGACAAAAGTTTTATTCTAAATTTTTTTGAATTATTAAAATATTTAAAAAATTCCAATTATTATATTGAGTTTTTAACTCATTCTTCTACTTAATGCAAATATCATAATCGTACAGATGCGCAATTTTATGATATGAAAAAATTTGTTTATATAAGTCATCAACGCTCTGCTACTTCATACTATCGCAGTTGTTCTAACAAAGTCATCACATTTTTGATTGCATCAGTCAGTCTTCTTGTTCTGTGAGAAGCGCAATCTAAAAAAGTTTCAGTATTTAATATTTTTTTTAAAGAAAAAAATCACTGACGAGAGAAGTGTGTTGATGCAACGTTTATCGATGATTGGAATCAAAATCAGTCGTAATTTAATTTATTAATTGTATAGATATCATAATATCTCATCACTAATTCACACTTATATGACCTTCAGTTTTATCTCATTAAATTCACGATTTTCCCCATTTTTAATATAAATAAACCGGCTTTTCCAGTTGGCCAAACAGTTATTTACACATCTGATATTGCAAACCAAACTATTTTCGGTCTTCAAAATTGTTTATAAATCGAAAAATCATATGGAACTTTGTTAAAAACTGAATTCGCATGGGAGCAATTGTTCGAAATTTTGTTTTCATAAAACCTGGTATAATTTTTACTCAATAAAATTTATTTTAATAATATTTTTGAAAGATTGACAATATAAATAATATTTTTGATGAGAATATCTGTAAAACTTATGAGATAAATTTCAAAAATAAATAAAAATAATATTTATTAAATTTCACAAAATTTATTATTTCGGGTGTAAAAATTATAAAAAATAAAAAATTACACATAACAAACATTAATTTTATTATGAATACTATTATCAGACTGAGCTAACTTTGTTATTAATATCGTGAAACTTTTCATTTAGAATCTGTTTAATTTTATGCATAATAAATAAAAATTTTTAAAGATTTGGTCTAAAAATAATTGTATTTCAATGAAATGACTTTTTAGAACTGAAAAATAACTTAATATTAACAAATCATATTTGGGCACTCAAAATTGCGCTCAATACATACACAATTACATAAAAATTGATGAAGAATAAATTTGATCATTAAATAATCAATCATTTAATCAAATAGAATACAAATATTTAATTCTTAAAAGTTTGCTATATTCTTCTCATGAATTGCGGTTCATTGTTACGCTTCAAAATTGCTTCAACTCGGGCGCGATTCATTTCAAATGACGAATACACTTCATTATTCGCTTCATTCGACCACGTAAGTGCTAAAGGTGACCGATTTATAATAGATATATCAGATGGTGGTGGAATTTGATTGTATCGTTCAAGCAATCGCCTAAAATTTCAATATTTTTTAAATCGCATTCATTTTATAAACTTTTGTAATTACAGAAAGTGTTATAAAAATTAATTCAATAAAAAGTTATATAAATATTCAAAAAATACCAAATTACTCACAAACAATTACACAAAACTAATTAATTAATAAGCTAACTAACTAAACTCACTCTCTTTCTTGACTTTGACTGCAATTATTTGCTTCATCACTTTTTTTTAACTTTTGCCTTTGTCTGAAAAACAAAATATGAAATTGTAAGTTCAACTAACATGCATTTTTATCACTGTAAAAATTTTTAGCTACAACAGTTATTGATTATTACTGGTAAATAATAATAATTAGATGAAACTAAAGCAAAAATTAGAATTTTTGTAATTCTAGACTGTATATTCATAATTAAAACTTTGATATTTATTTAATAAAGAAAATGTGCTTGATATTGTCTATTATAAACTTTCAAACTGTTACATAATTTCTACACTAATGAGTCTATAAATAGAAAGTAAGAGCTAACTTTTTATAAAAAAAAATATTTGCGATTATCCAACCAACTGATGCCATAATATACAATGGTAGCATTAAACAAATTGTCCACAAGCATCGCTTATACATTTCGCTCCTTTTCAACTAAACATAAAATTGCTCTAATTATGAATTTTCTTTTGCTTTTTCAAACAATTTTTTAATTCATACCTATAATTAGAATTTATTTAGCGTACTCAAATTATGATTTAAATAATAATAATAATAATAAATGTATTTATACTTCGTTTTCATAAAGCATATTTACACGTTCTTCGATCATTTCCATCAATAAATTTAACTTTTCCCCCTTCACATCGAAATATTCCGGGATATGAAAATGCCAGGCATTGCTGTAGAAGTAAAGTTTGACAAGTAATCAAAAATAATATCCGTAATCAAAAAAATTGTGCTTATTTTTGACACAAATTGCTATCAGTGCTATCATACTCTTCAATGACATAATTTAGAGTTGATAAAGTTCTGAAATGTAAAGTATAAAATTTTTGTGCAAGTCATATCGTATATGAATCTAAAGTTTATTTCGTATTTATAAAATCTTAAAAGCTCTCTCTTAGAATTATTTGAATGAATTATGCATTTGAATTAAAAAAATTTTTGAACGATTTGATAATGAAATGTGTAAAAATACTATCCTTTCCAATTTTTAGAAAATTGTAAGCAAAAATGATTACATTTGATGTAAATGAAAAAAAAATTACTTATATCAAATAAATAATTTTTTAATAAAAATATTTAATAATAATAAGAATATTTTTTCAAATAATATTTGCATATTTCAAAATAAGAGAATATTATCTATATTTATGGGAAAGATATCAAATAACAGCTAATTAACAGCAGTCTTTTTCCATTATAAAAAGATTCAAGTGTGTGTAAATTTTCACTGCTTAGCTTTTTAAAAAGTAAATTTTTAATACAGTAATTGTTTCGTTTACAGTAGTTATGAAGTGAAGAAAAATTCCGTAACTAATTGTTTTGCTATGATAATTTCATCTTTTTAAACTTAATCTCATCTATACTTCAAAATAAAGAAAATTTTAACAAACTGTTAAAGTTTATATGTATGTAAAAATCCATGAAATGCGAAAAGAAGAGAAAATACGAAAGTACCGATCGTTTTTGATAATTTGAATGGTACCATCATTAACAAATCTCGCTTTACTAATGCACTGAGCCATATGTGTTTGATAAATTGTGGATATAGCAATAAATCCAGCAATGTAATCCATTCTACCAACGGATACAACTTGATTACTGAAACCATC